GGCTGGGCTACGACCCGATCATCTGCAGAGTGACAGTTGAAAAAGTCTCACCAGACAATTACTCCGGGTCTTAGCCCACGGAAGAGCTTGCGAAGGGAAGGGCAAGAGCAAACCAGTCATGAGTATTTACAGTATCTACCCATATTGCAAGAATCTAACTCAAACCTTTTGAATAATTATTTCCTGTACTCCGTACAGCACAATATACCCTACCCTGTCAAGCCAGGAGACTTCACCACCTGGCACTGCGCTCCAAAGACCTGCCTAATTGGGGATAGAGGATTGGCTGCACATCAGATCAGGATTGGATGCGCACAAGGGGGGAGGGAGGGACTGATAGGCATCAAGCATTTTTCTTGTCCTGCTTTACATATTTGACTCTCTTGGTGTTGCTTTTATTTTCCATCTCCCATCTTCTTGTCCCATGCTTCTCCGGAATTGAACTCCAGACAGCCAAGCGTAGAATGAATAATCAGGTCTCTCGTTGAGCCGGGAGAGTAAAAATTGTCTTAATAATGTCTCTAGTCCGATGTTCTTTATTGGTTATAGCTACCTTAACTAATGTCCGTCTCAAGAACCATTCCTACATGGGTTAGTTGAAGGTCGTGGTGTAGATAACCGTTTCCCGCCCAACCCCTCATAGACCCATTCCGATTCATGGTTCTGGGATTCGACGGATCGAAACCAATGCCGAAGAGGTCAAGTCTGTAATCACAAACCATCCAGAATACGAGTGCAATATTCTAGCAACAATATTGTTGTTGTTGTTGTTGTTGTTGTTGTTGTTGTTGTTGTTGTTATTGTGATTGTTGCTGTTGGTATTGTAGTTGTTATTGTTGTCGGGGACAGTATTGTTGATAATGCTGATGATGAAATGGCCGTGCGATGTAACTGGGAAGAACCGGAATAAACAGGGAGTGGTCGAAGTGGGACACAACAAAGCTGACCTGATCTGACTGACTTTTTGTTCCTATTCTTTCCTTTCTTCCCCTCCCCTCCCATTCCTCTTTGTACTCAGGACTATGTATCCTCAATCCTGCCTGCGGCTACTGGTTAGGTTCGATAAGATGGGGCCTTCGGAATCGGCACAGCTTGTTAGTGCCTATTCGCAACTACTGGGCCTCAATCAATCTATTTACTACCTAGTCAATAATCAGTCATGTCCGTACGGAAATCAACAGTCAGACCGCGATTAGTTTTGCTTTTCGTTTTTGGCAATTTATAGTGGTCGAGAGTTGTTGCATCATTCTTTTTCTTCTTCGAGATTCCTCGTTCGTTCTAAATGTGACCTGTTCGCAAGTGCGGTCGCTGCCGCTGCTGTTTGCTTCTCAATTCCTGGTTCTGATGGATGCTGCCTGCCTCGGAATCTCTCATAACTGGTCATGAGAATCCCTGTGCATAATGAAGGACTCAATGGGTGAATGAATACCTAAAAAGCTCTCCCGTGCCGTCTGTGTTACCGAGCCAGAAGGATTCTGTCCAGCAAAGCGAAGTGGAGGTTTGGGAACTGACTGAGATTCGTTCCGAGGCGGTCAGCCATCAAACGACTGCACGGGCAGCGATCCTTGTCGCCTGAGGTATGCTACCCAGTACGAACGTTGGCTTGAAATGGATAGACGATCATTCGAAAAGTGAAAAAAGAAAACAAACGAGTAAATCATGATGCACCTACGGCTATAGAGAACTGAGACATTGAGAAACGGAAGCAGAAAGCTCTGCCGATCGATCGAGAATCCCCTCGATTTGAGACGATCGCCCTGCGTGGAAGAAGGAACCATGAAGACCACCACCACCACATCAGCAGCAGCTGCTGCTGGCTTCAGCCCAGATGAAGGGTGGCGGCGGCAAGCCAAACGCACTTTCCCCCTCGCCGCCAAGTTCTACGACGGTTCTGTGCAGATGAACAATTCAGCCTCTTCACCTGTGCCCGCGATTGACTGCCAATCATTGACTGCCATGCAGAGAGCCTCATATGGGTGGAGCCTCTTTTCGGTTTAGGCTGACTGGGTCAGCCTCGTGGACGTGGCATTATTCTTCCTTTTTCTTCTTCTTGTTCTTCGGTGCTCGCCTTGGTCACAAAGGAGGGGACCCGAAGGAAGGAATGATATTCGAGAGTTGAACATCAATTTCTCTCGCAGATATCCAATGTGATACACTTCTTTCTTGTGCGTAAGGTTCATTCCAAGTAGGAGTCCAGTCCACAATACCAGCAGATGTCAATAGTAGGGTCTCCTCTTTCCCAGCGATTGTCAGCTTCTCAGTCGTGGGGAGACTCACCCCACTTACCTCTGTTTGCCTGCTGCAGTGGCGCGTCTGGGAGTCAGCTTTCAGTTACTCCCTCAACGCTTCTTCAGGGCCTCCTCTTCTCCCATTTTGTTTTGACGCAGGTGGAGCTTCAACTGCGAAACTGGGACAACCCCCGGAAAGATTGATCATCGTGATTGTGATGATTCTCATGACTGGCAGTCAAACTTTGTTGCTCGCGCGCACGCACACACCATGTTATTCAATGGGAATGCTAGATAGAGAGAGAAAGGGGACTCGGGATCAGCCAGCCAGCCAGCCCAGCCAGGCAGACAAATACAATAACTCGTAGTTGGGGAGGGGATACCACAATACGAGAGAAAAAGAAAAGGAGGGAGGACAGACGGACTAGCTAACTTACTTATCACTCACTAAGATACTTCTAATCGCATTTGGGTCTTCTTCCTACATTTGTTATGTGATATACTACTGTATTTCTGTCCACCTTAGGGTCATAGCTGATTGATGAATGTTGATGTTGTGATGTTGTGGTGGTGGCTTTTGGCAGGACTAGATGCTACTAGTGGATTCCGTACGTCGAAGCAAGAAACTTGTCCTGTCGTTTGTCTCTTTTGTTGTTTCTCCACCCCGTGTCTTTTTGCCAGGCCGGGCTGGGTGTGGATCGCTTTTCAGTCAGCGGCTTTTCCCACGGTTCCTTCTCCTCCTCAATCCCACCCCGAGTACTGTACCACGGCTTGAACGGGCCTCGACTTTTGAACTGAGTTGAGGTAAGTTAAGGTAGTCAGTCAGTCAGTCAGTCAGTCAAATACAAGACTAACTACTCTGTACCTAACAATTAACTCTCCGTCTCCGTCCCATTATTCCATTCCATCTCATCCCAGCCCATCCTGTCCCTCATCTCCTTACCCCATTCCATCCCATCCACTCACCCTCTCTTCTCGGCCATCCATCCATTCACCCGTTATTGTGTGGGTTTTCTTCATCCACTTCTGCTTCTTTACTCCTTCTTCACCTAGTGCCCTTTCTTGCTTCTTTCTCTTCTGCTTCTAACCGGATCCTTCCTTTCGGTTCTGCCGTTTCCACGCTGCGATTGCTGCTTTTGCGCTCTTGACCGCTCCGGCCGTACCCTGAACCTTTTTTCTTATTCTATCCTGTTTTATCTTATCCTATTTTATTTTATTTTTCTCTGCTGCTTTTTTTTTTTTTTTTTTTTTTTTTTTCCCCTTTTTTTTTTTTTTTTTTTTTTTTCTTTTTTTTTTTTTTTTTTTTTTTTTTTTTTTTTTTTTTTTTTTTTTTTTTTTTTTTTTTTTTTTCTTTCCCCCTTTCCTTTTTCATTTTGATTTACCGTATTTTCACTTCTTTTTTTATTTTTCCAATTCTCACCTGCCAAGCGCGTCATAATCCCGCTGGCTCGAACTATCAGCTCTATCGGCCACTATTCTATCGTGTCTGGATTACTGCCGGCCACCACTATTCTGACTTAATTACCTTTACCTTTGTGCTTCTTCGCTTTTGTTGATTTTCTACGTTCATCTAGTCCTGATTTTCATTCCTCTTCTGCTCCTCTTCCTCTTCTAGCTGCTGCCATTGCTTATGATCACTGCAACTACAACCACAATTATAACGGCTACTGCTATCACCACGAGTCCCGCCGTTACCGTCGCTTACACCTGGCACCGTTAGACGATGATTTTCTCCTCATGACCTGATGCTCGCTTACTTGCACCTACTCCTCCTCCTCCTCTTCTTCTTCCACCTTTCATCAGACCAGAGTAACATCGTGACCTTTTCTCATCGTCATCCCCCGCTCTTGCTTTATTGAACCAAAACGACCGTCTCTCGAGTTGTGAGACGATTCAGGTTCTTTCCAAAAGTCCACTTCCACGGCTCCTAAATTCTTGTGCGGAAGATCGTTTGATCTATGCGCCCAGTGCAGCGCAGGCTTCTTATTTCGGAGTGGATTTCGACGTGCGGTTGATTGACTTCCGCTTGAGCCTCATCGCTTGGTTCCTGAGGCTACCCGACTTGGGCTCTGTGACAGCAGCAGGTAAGCAAAATACTTGGCCGTTTTCTCCTCTTTGTCCTGCTCGTCCCACCATCATCTATCACACAGCCAACAGAGAGAAGAAACCACACAATTCTTATTTTTCCCAGAAAAAGAAAGTGAGAGAACTCGCTGTCATGTGAATCCAAACATTCCTCCCTTTCTATATCACTGGCTTCCACTCTAGTCCTCTTCTCTCTTCTTGCTCTCTCCGTCTCTCAACTGGCTTTGCTCGATCTGCACCCCACATCCATCGCAACGGGTCCAAATGTGGTGTTCTCCCGAAGTGCTACAGATCGGATCTTGAATCATTGGTCCGATCCTCGCATGTTTCTTCTTCAATGACTTGCCGTCTATCTCCATCCCATTCCTCTTTCTTATCCGAACCATGCTCGGTCTCTGGCTCCAAAGGATAGCTACCGTAGATCGCTTGCCTCATCTTTCTTGTCAGCTGCATCTTTCGTGTCCTACACGCCATCTTGCTAGGGCCTTACCCGCGCACATACTAATCAGATGACAGTGCATTTAAGCCCCACAACGCGACTCGTCTGCTGTGCTCGCGGGAGAGGTTAAAGACCTGAACCATTGCCTCCAGCGTGAGCTTGCTTTGCTTTACGCGACACAAGGCACCAGAAGAAGTATCGACAGACAATAGGCTAGCGCACCTGATGCGCCTCAAACCACTGCCTTCATGACAGAATCATACGATCCAGATGAAATCCCCGGTTCCCCCGGGCTGAAGGCCACCCAGGTTGATTACTCACTCAAGGATTCGCCTCCACCCTTTGGGGAACCGCCGCCTGAGGGAGACGTTGCTAAACCTCCTGTGGACGACGTGGCACCGTTTTCGGGCAGTTCCCGTAAGCGCCTGCCGGAATCTCCCAAGCCCAGAACACTCGAGGGCAACTCGGTGCTGATCAGACATCTAGAGCCTAATCGACCTGATATAGCCAATTTCGAATATCAACATGGCTTCACTCATGAGCCGGTAACTGATGATTCCTTTGAAAAGCCTACTAAATTAAGGTCTAAACTGGACAATGCTTTGCTGCCAGAGCCATGCAAACCCACGGAGACAGACAGCTTGAAAGCTGCAGCCACAGCCAAACAAGCACTTGACCTGGTATCTTTAGATATCAAGGAAGATCCTAGGGAGAATGCCCAGTTCGGATTGACGCCAAAAGAACCCATTCATTCCCCGGAGCAGTCGTCTCCTAAGCAGGAGCAACAGCACACGCCTCCCAATAATATCTCATCACTACTATCGGATCCTCCGCCACGACAGGAAAGGAAGCTGTCTGACCCCGACTCCCGCTTGAGCAAACTACTTCTCGTCAACCCTTCGACATCTCCAGGCCAGGTCCTACCAGCGCTTCACTCTTCATCAACGGGGAATTCTGTTGATCATAGCCTCCCTTCCCTCCAAACTGCATTAGCGGCAGTCACGGATGTACCGCCAAATCCCGCCGTGCGCATCAATGGCTCATCTTCGTATACCCTGCCTCCAGTACAAGCTTCCTCTCCAGTTTCAAGGACAGACTCTCTCTGGGATCACCAACGCATGGGGCAGTTTGGGCCAACCCCGCAGGTTCCGCCCAGCCCATATTCACATCTATCTCCTGCGAGCTCGAAGGAAATGTCGACCATGCCGTCTCCTGCTTCACAATCACCGTACTGGAGGATCAAAGAGATTCCTTATCTGACCTCACCATATGAGGTGGCTTCCTCCACGGTCAAGAGTCCCGCGACAGGTTATCCGACCCCGACGGATCAGACACCTACAGGGTCCTGTGACCGATTATTCAACCCATCTGCGCAGGTCAATGGGCCTGTACCAGCTGGGACATATAAATGTCGTTATCCTGGGTGCACGGCACCTCCATTCCAGACTCAATATCTACTAAAGTAAGCATCTGTATGACCCGGTTCGACTTGAGACCACAAACTCAACGGCTCCATAGTTCTCATGCGAACGTTCACTCCCAAGACCGTCCGCATTTTTGCCCCATAGAAGGCTGTCCTCGTGGACCAGGGGGCAAGGGCTTTAAAAGGAAGAACGAGATGATTCGTCATGGTCTCGTCCACAATTCTCCCGGTTATGTCTGCCCTTTTTGTCCAGATCAACAGCATAAGTATCCTCGACCGGACAATCTTCAACGGTAAGGTCTTTATCTACCAAGAGTCAATGCAATCGCGCAACTCACACAATCTAAACAGACATGTCCGAGTCCATCATGTCGATAAGAACAAGGATGATCCGGCTCTCAGGCAGGTCCTGGCCCAGAGACCGGAAGGTAGCAACCGCGGTCGGCGCCGCCGCACCAACGCTCAATGAGCGATCTCCTCACGATGGTCGTGAGGACCCCCCCTTCCCATTAGTGCAGATTTATTGTTCAGATGATATTGCATTAGCGACAGCGCCCGTGTTGATTCAGTCCTCGGGAAGGTGGCTTTCTCGAACATGATCCTGATGTTGATGAGTCATGCTGGGAATCACGCAGCCACTCTTGCCCACCGCCCGCCACCCGATTCCCCAATTGTCGTGTATACTGCACATGCATCATATGAGCTCGTCCCGTCTTCTTGATACTCTTCTTGCTGTGATACCAGATTTTCTTAGAGTTACCCTTGACTCTCTACCGCCCATTGTTCTGCGCGACTTGTTCCATGCCATTTGCTCCATTTCTTACCATGCATATTTTCCTTAGCCTCGTTTGTTGCTGAATACCTTGGCGAATTATGGTTCTTTTGTACAAGATTTGACCTCATTGGCGTTCTTCGGGAAAGCTCGCTGATATCTTTTTGACTCTTTCTTTTTCACGATTCCTCTGCTGTTCCCAATATTCCCTTTGCGCCTTCCACAACACCTCCTAGTCTTCGTCGTAAAAATATTCCCCACATATACATATAGGAGCTCTGGCGTCGATCAATGTTTCCATAAGCGACATCCTTCAATCTATTGGATTCTATCTTAACGAGTAGTATTGCAGAACAGAAGGTCCGAAAGGGGGGTCCGAAATGTTGTTGGTCTGGATTTTCTGTATTGCTGTCTCTTTTCTTTCTTGGTACTTGCTCCACATATCCCCATTTTTGCATTTTCGGAGATTTGCACAGCTAGCCAGCTAGCCTCAGCATGGAAGAAGGAAAAACAAAAACCTTGTATCAAAAGATGACATTCCAGAAGAAGAAAGAAGAAAAGCAAAAGGCAGGGGACAGGGGACAGCCCACAGAAGGGAGAAAAAAATCCAGCAAGATATGTTGTGTAGAAGTTCTATGGGTATGGTAGACATAACAGTGAGTAGTAGAAGGCTTGATAGCGCAGCTGGGTAGAGTACAAGCGGCCAACTGTTTTCAGTCCCACTCACTGGCCAGCAGTGAAATTTGATTGTGTTGAATAGGGTCGTGGTAAGGACAACGAGGCCGCTATGGTTGTCTTTGGGTGGATACTTTATAGACGGGTGATGGGAGCGGGGGAAGGTGTCATCAAGTTTGACGAGTCTGCGCTGCGCACTGGCGATGCAGTGAGTAGAGCTGCTCGTGCGTGGAGTTCGATTGTCGGTTTTCTGAGTATGTTGTATGGTAGTGATGTGCGGGCGTTGTTGGTCTTGTTACAACAGAAGGAGAAGATATTGTTGTTGTGATGATGATGATGATGATGATGATGATGATGATGATGATGACGATGGCGATGGCGACGGCGACGGCGAGAATACCTGTCAGCCCACACACCATCTTCTTGTGAAGGAGGGTGAGACAAGGGAGGGGGTGGAGTAGATTTGATCACTTGGGGGGGTAAGCCAAGTCCTGCAAGCAGGCCAGCCAGGAACTGGAACCACACGTCTTCCTTCCCCTTCAGTCATGGTCACGGGATGAGGCTGAAAAGAAAGCGTTCCACTTTTCGTCAGCTGGGGGTACACACCCTCACTACATACTTTGTATGTAATCATGTTTGTACGTCGCTGACTGGCTCCATTGCAGCATATTCGGACCCCTCCCCTTTCCCCTTCTGAAAAGTGTTTATCCCCTGGGGGGCGAGAAAGTGCATTTTGTTCCGGGAGTTGGAGCGAAAGGGGAAACTGCCCCGCCCCCTTCGTCAAGTATGACGACTGCAAAAGAAACAGGAGACATAGGGAGAGAGGATTCTTTCAAATGTCTCGCCTCTTATGGATCCTTCTCACATGATCCTTCATGTTATCCATTCGGCTGAAAACCCGACGACACCCTTCCCATTCACATGGGATCTCGGGGTTATGTTTCGCTTCGTGTCGATCTCGGTCCTTCTTGCTGGAAAATCCACCCCGCACGGCCTGTGGACAACCCTCGTAGCGGCAGAACAGGTGCTTGCGGTGTCGGTTGTAGTGTTTGCGGAGGTCGCAGCCACGACGGAAGAGGGCTTGTGAAGAGCACCCTGGGTAGGCACAGCGCCATGTTCCGTCCGGGTTGGGGACACCATAGTTCGTCAAATCTCGCTGAACGTGGTGGTGATTGTGAGAGTATTGGGAGCGTGGTGGCGATGATGAAGAGGAGCATGGAATCGCAGCGGTGGCGTTCTCATCTGCGAAGTGGTGGGGCTGTGTTGGGGGTTGTGATGGGGGCTCATCGAGGTCGAAGTCCAGGTCGAGATCGAGATCGAGGTCGAGGTCGAAGTCGCCCGTTGAAGTGGAGATGGGGGTGAGTTGCTGTTGAGGTAGTGCTGGCTGGTGCTGATGGGGCGATGTGAGGTGATAGTCCGCTGTTGTGTGTGGTTCTGGGGTCGGTGTATGTGCCTGGAACTGGGTTGCTGTCTGCGTGGACCAACTCCCCGGGCGCACAGAGTAAGCTTGATTAGATGTGTTTGCTAGTGGATGTGATAACAGTGGTAAACTGGGCTGGCTGGATGATGTCAGGTGTTGGCTCAAGAATGAGGGCGTATAGGGCCCCTGCTGGAAGAAGACGGTCTCCATCCCTGGGTTTCTGCTGTGGGGTTGGTTGAGTGCATATCCCAGGTTTCCAGGCATCCCATGGACGGCTGACAGAGGAGCCTCGTGGAAGGCTGCCGCTGGAAAAAGGTGCGGCTGCATCTGCAATGACATAGCATTTGGGATGTACGAGCCGGGTGGTAACAGCATCTGATTGTCAATCGATCTCTGTGAAATCATTGTGGAAGGCTCTGAGCGAGCAGAAGCTCTATTGTAGATTGGCTTGTGCTAAGTATGTAATTTGTCAGGCCACTTGCTCGAGAGATGAGATTCTTAACATACAGTTGTATCCTCGTCCATGGAAACGTTCCTTTCTCAGCAACGGGTGTGTTCCATGCAGCAACGGAAGAGCAGTTAGTTTCATCAGGGCAACGGTTCTGGTTAGTGCTTCTTCATTGTCTAGCTTCTTTCGAGTTGCGGCTGGAGGAAATAGAAGGTCCATATAAACCACTGTCTTTCTAATGTTCTGTTCTCGAAGGAGTATCTCGAATGTCAGATGTGGCTATGCATATGTCGAGAGCTGACGGTCAATCCGGTTAGCTGAGCGGGAGTCATTCCGAATCTCTGCTTAATAAATTTCTTGAAGTTTGATGCCACTGTATCATTGGTTTCGCCGGACGTTGACGCTGTCAGCAACTCTCGCACTAGCCTTGAAACTCGTGATTTAATATAGACCACATCTATGGGGTTGATGTATAGTGGGGAGTTCTGCTAGGTGCATGATGTAATAGGTCATTCCACTCCGTTTGAAATCCAACATCGCAGCTGACTTCAAATTGCCGGCCGGTAATGTCCGTATGACATCTTCTGTTGGAGTATACATAGTTGACTCCAATGACAAGAATTTCAAATATTGACCAATAGCACCACAGACTAGGGACTCGGACTATTGTTTCCTGGGCATTGTTTCATTTGTTTTTCTCAAAGCAGATCTTCACTGCTTATGTAGGCATAACTATCGACTATCATGGCTCGAGATTGGCTACCTGATAGGGCTGAGGTGCATAGTCATCGTGTGAAAAAAGCCACAGTGGACGAATCAGGAAAATTCGTATGCAGCTGGCGGAGTGAGGAATTCACTCTGTTGTTGAAACATGGCTTGGGTCGACTCCGGCCCTGTCAAGAAAATCCAGTCGTTTGCTGACAAGGTAGCTCGGACTAGAATGTTAGCTCACAGACCTAGGACCATAATTGCGCGGCAGTTGAGTATGCAGCACAATATGCATGCGGGATTCGCGTGTCGTAGGAGGCTCCCTGTCTGGGCAGAGGTCTCAGCCTCAGGGAGGGCCGCGGACTCGCAAGTCCTGCTCAAAATAGAGAATCGAAAAAGGAAGTATGGAGGACAGGGGACATGGAGGATGTATCACAAACGAGAGACAGAAAAGGGATAACAAAAATGCGACTTCGAGTCATGGTTCTGCACGATTCCTCTGGCCGTTGCAGGTGGGACGAAGCCAACAAGCTGACGTGAATGGTTGACGGTATGCTTAGGCCCCCCACGCTTGCAAGGCTGGCACAACTGGACTACCAAAACAGGCAAGCAAGTGGGCGCTATTGGACATGGCTGAGATGCAGATCTCTTCTGCTTACCGCCAGATGGGCCATAAGCCTCAAGGAGGATATCCCTGCTGCAGCATGGAAGTTCATGCCATGTTGCGCGATTCCGCAGCGTGACGATCCCCAGATTGGCGGGATTGTGGAAGGGAAGCCGCGCCAAAGGATTGCCGTCAGCACGGAAGAGCTGATAAAGAGCGGTGTCGGCACCCTCGCTACTGTGCATAGTACTGCGTCCACTGCGTCCACTGCACCCGGGCTGGCCCTGATCGGCCTGCAGATCTCGGCGGTTGGAGCGTATATGTGTCAAGGTCATGTTACATCCAAATCATGGTATGTGCCGTCCGTAACCTGGTGCAAGACATTATTCCAAAAATATATTCTATTAATCCTGGACGACCAGTAGTTGAGTCATCTCTGGACCACCTCCAGTCGTCAAAAATGCTCTCAACCACTCATCTCACAATTTAACGGCTTCTCCGTCGTTTGTTTCGGCAGAGATTCTAGCGTCTCATACATATTCAAGGGAACCCCGAGCCTCGGTTGCAGTCTTATCGTTTCGCGAAAACCGAGGACCGACAAACGGACAGAGAAAATCGCAACCAACATAAGCAGGGACCCGCCACCAAAAAGCTCCAAAAAGCAAAAAAGCAAATCGCGATGTATCCGACTTGCGTATCCAATACGCAGACACCAGCTGCTCACGGCAGATCGTTGGCTTGCGACAAAAGCGGCGTTCTATCGTTTGCACCCTGTCCTTTATCCTTATCGTCCACTACATTCTTGTAAAGGATGTAGTGCTGCACGATGAAAATGACGTCAAAGAAAATGGTCACGTTAGATAAAAGGAACTTGGCGGGGTTTCCGGTGATGCCGCTCCAGTCACCTTGGAAACTCGAGTCCATTATCAATTGCGCAAGAGACAGAATACCGCCAGAGAAGTCGAAGAGAATCCCTTCAATACTCCAGCCATAGGTGGACTTGCGCTTATAGTTCACCCACGCCTGAGGTACGTATTTCACGATGGTGATGATTAGTTTCACATAGGAGAGGGCGTAGATCTGATGGGATCAGTTATCAATCCGGACTGATTCTGTGATAGTACATTTGCGATATTTCAGAGTACTCACAACATCGATCCATGCCCACGAGAAAGGATCGAGTCCCCCATTGGGACTCTTGGCAAGAACGATCACCACAACGGCGCCCACGCCAACGATAGAACCCCAAAAAAGACCAGCGACTGGTTTGCTAACCCGTTGGTACCGAGAGACCTTAAAGCCCCAGATAAAGGGCCAGAACTGGGAGTAATAGATGACGCTGAGAACGACAGCATGAATGGCAAAAGCGAAGTCATTAAAGCGCACCGTAGCGTCTTGTGCGAGAGGATGGCGGGCGGCATATTGTTCACGAATTACCGGAGACCAAAGGAAGGCAGAAGTATAGATCGTATAGCAGACGAAACCTAGAACATTGATCGTAGGGAAGTCTATGGCTAGACCCGTGGTTGAACGTCGTCGGAAGTTGTTGAGCGGTTGGGGATAGAATGACGCGGACCAGCAAAGCGTGCTATGCCAATCAATAAGCCACTGAAAAAGTTTCCTTTACATATATGACTCGACAAAAGAATTCTCCTGAAGAGGCTCCTAGATGAGTTCAAGACATACTAGATCCAGCCCAGAAGGCTATGTTCACAGGGGTCAGTAGTGTTTTATCTAAGGACCGCTGGCTTCTGTAGATAAGAACACCTACCGAGAGAGCGCTCTGACGAATATCTCGAGTTGAGAAGTCATGGTTGGGGGTTTAAACACCTTAAATGACCATAGAGAGTGAGAGGAGACTTAAAGACTTGGAGGGGAAAAGAACAGGTGGAAAGAAGGATGAATCAGATCAGGGAGACACACATCTTGTCTTTGTGGGGAGAGGGGAGGGAATGGCAGGGGTCACTTGATCGCAGAGGCGGACGATAAGATGGATAAAGTGAGATAGATACGGAATACGGAGTAGCACGCGATCCATCGATACAATGCGCAGGCGGTCCGTGCCGGCAGATGGTCGAGGGACTGCTGACTGCTGACTGCTGACTGCTGAGTCAGCCATATGGTTGTCTGGGATATGCGCTGGCGCACTAAACCCAAGAAGGAAAACAGTTGTGCTTGCCAGGTGAGCGTGCCTTGCGAGCCGCGATCGCATCGCATCCCCAGCCGTAACTTAGCGGTAAGTCCACTAAACAACCCAACCCAACCCTGCCTGCATCTCGATCAATCCCCCCGGCGGTTGACTAAACTTGTCCCTCCCATCCTGCGTCTCGCTGACGACTACCCACCCCCCCCCGCTCCTCCTCCATTGTTTTCTCTTTACATCCCTGGCTCTGGACCCGTCATTGTTTCCGCCATTATCTCCAGTCTTCGTGACCACTCTATCTATAACCTATACTATCTCGGTTCCACTCTTCACTTCTCACCGCCAGCGCTTGTTGCAGAGAGTGAGCTGGACTGTCCGTCGTCCCAACTTTTCCTCCGGACTCTCCAGAAGCCACGCGAATTCCCCGAATAGCTTGTTCATCGGCCGGCGGACAAATCAGCGACTCATTTAAATCAATTCCAATCTTTCCCCGTCGGCGCATGGTGCATTCTTCGGAGTGGGGGATCTCAATAGATCTCCTTCGGTAGTTCCGACATTCCACAGCATCTAATCTGGCCGTTCGTTGCAGGAGCCACTCATCGATCTTGGCCTGACATCACCGGAGAACAAAGTTCTCGACAATCATGGCGGCTGATTCGGGGCTCACGGCTCCCGGGAGCAGTACCTACTCCTCGAATACGCTACATGTTGGAGATGGGACATGGGACTCGGAGCGCGATACGTTCCTGCTGCCCAACTTGATGGGGATTAACTTCGACACAATGCGATACAACGGTAGGTGCAATCCATATATCTCTTCACAACATCTGCTAAAATCTCTCTTACCATGGGCGCTAGGAATGGGGAACCGATTCAAAGACATGCCCGAATATCATACGCTGATCATGGTTCACGGTGTCATCGCCACCATCGTTTTTCTCGGTCTTGTCCCCATCTCAGTCTTGATTGTCCGATATTATTCGCGATGGAATCCATACTGGGCATTCAAGTTGCACGTCTGGTGCCAGGTTCTGACCGTGATGCTGAGCACCGTTGTGTTCGTATTCGGCTGGTTTGCTGTAGGCCCCCGACGTAGTTTGACGAATCCTCATCATGGAATTGGCTTAGCGATCTACGTCTTGGTGTGTTTCCAGGTGTTATGGGGCTGGCTTGTTCACAAATTCGAAAGGAACAAGAGGCGATTCCATGTGCCGCTGAAGCTTGTCGTAAGTAGACCAACCAGTGGCATTTCCGATGGTCTCCACGAGGGCTAATTGACTGCCAGATACATCGATGGATTGGCCGCGCTTTGACAATATTGGGGATTGTGCAAATACCACTAGGTCTCACTCTTTACGGCTCACCCAAAGTACTTTTTATTCTATATGCGATCGCCGCCTTCGCGCTTCTGGCCACATGGTTTGTGTTATCCTACCTATACGATACTGAGGGCTATCACATGGAGGGGGACTACGAAGCTCGTCGTAGCTACGTATCCGGCCCTCCTGGTCCTGAAGGACACCCCCCGGGTGGTCTCGGTCCGATGGCAGGCGCGGGAGCAGTAGGCTCTGGGTTGGGCTCAGTCTTCAGAAGACGCTCGCGAGGTAAAGACCATGAGTATGATGATCCGCACCCGGGTTATCCAGAAGAGAAATATTCCGATGGGGGACGGCGTCGAGGACGGTGGGAGGACACGATGCTCAAGCTGGGGGCTATTGGTGGGGGTGCGTGGCTTGTGAAGAAGTTTCTCGACAGAAGGCGAGATCGGGATGACGATACGGAGTCTGGTCGTTATAGCCGGGCTCATGCACGCAGCGACAGTATAACAGAGGAAAGCCTGAGTCGAGTGGAGCCAACACAGCGCACGCCTCTCAATCGGCCCCCGAGTCGGCCTCCAAGTCGACCACCGAGCCGACCAGCTAGTCGCGCTCAAAGTCCAGGATCATCGTACTACTACGACAGCACCTATCTCTCATCCGAACCCGCACGGAAACCATCACACACGCTTCGAAATGCTGTTCTAGGTGCAGGAGCCTTTGCTGCATTTAAGGGTCTGTTCTCCCGTCGCAAGGCGAATGATGAACAGCGCCGAGTGGAAGACTTGCGTCGCCGCGAGATGGAAGATGAAAAGTTAGCTCGCGCGAATAGTGGGCGACGATACACTGGAGATGGCTACTACCCGCGACGAGGTCCAGAGTCGTTCACAGCCACTGATATTTCGACGGAGTTGACACATCCGCCACACCGCCCACCACCACACGGGGAATCTCTTCTTTCTGCTGTGCCTATGGCATCTGGGGCAGCTGATGGCGCGCGCTCAGACCTGCCTCCGGCATCAGCTCTTCCGGTCCCGCACGATCTGCTCTCCGAAGCTCCACCCCCTCCTCGACACGATTCAGGCGACTTGGCAGCTGGTGTAGCAACGGGGGCGACTTTAGGTGCTGCTGCTGCCTCCTCTGGCCACCGGCACCGCAGCAGAAGCCGGCACCGCGATGATCATGTCGATTCACCCCCTGTATCTGTCAAAGTGAAGATGCACAACGACGGCCGCCATGTCACGCTCAGGAGATTGACTGATGAAGAAGCTGCCGCGAGCCGGGAGGCCAGACGCCGGGAGAGAAGAAACTCACGCCGCCGAGCCGGCAGTGCAAGCTCCCTATCCGGCAATGAAGGGGGCAACTACGACCGCTGGCGTCGGGTCGAGGAGCTGGAACGTCAGCAGCAGGCGCAGATGCACCGAGAGCAAGCCGCAGCGGCGGCGGCGGCGGCTGGGGCTGGAGCATCTGCGGCTCCCTCATCTAGCATCCCCGCAACATACTATGCGCCTCCGCCGAACATGAGCAACTTGCCTCCTCCGCCTCCGCCCCCCGTACCATCCAGCCATCCCTACGGCGCAGCCAGTATTACATCGCCCGGTACTGGAACGTTCACCGGGACCGAAGCCAGCGAATACGCGAGCAATCGACGTCGTAGACGTGCGGAACGAGCTCGTGCACGCCAAGAGAGACAACAGGGCGTTGAATTCACCTGAAAAAAAAGACATCTTGCGTTCTCTCTTTCTTGTCTTTCCTTTTTTGTATAGCAACGATATGATACTGACGATCTGATGTGGTAGGATTATATCTCTGTTTGTCGTTTTTCGTACCTCTTTTTGTTGATGTGTTGAAGTTGTCGATGTTGATGTTGATGATCTGTTGTATATGAATTGTTTGTGTGCAGAGTACCCCCCATCTCCATCCGGACTACCTTGGCGGGTGCCGTTGCTTTTGTTGATTACAGTAATAAATGCATGTGATGTGGTCAGAGGAGATACCTGGCCCTGGTCGGACTGAGGATTCAGGAAAACATGTTTTCCCAACGATAGATCCCTTCCTAGAGGTCCTTTGGTTGTCAATGCGCACACAATGTAGAGTCGCTTGGTGGGTGATTACACAGACCCCCCTCCGGCGGGCAAGTCGGCCAGTGAGCCTAGCAGTAAGGTCGACGCCAAAGATACCAGACCTCAGATTCAAATCCAGATAAAGCTCGCAGAGCACCGTCATCGGTATCAAGGTTCATCATCTAGGTGTTCAGTTGACTGCGAACGTCACTCAGCAATCGGAATGGGAAAACTTCTCTTGTAGGGTCGTAGTCATAGGGATAGTGTGATCGACCAAATCCCATTGAAGGGAGATGAATTTGGGTCAGGGTCAATCTCCTCGAAACAATCAGGACTGCAATGAATAGACGAGACAAACGTCCGATTGAAAACTCGTCGAAATGACCATAGTAAAAAAAGGGTAACATGAATGTCTCCAAGTCGGCGCAGAAGTGGACGTTACCTTATTTGCATTTGGGAGCACTTGGCCAACGACCAATTCTCGCTAGCGATCTTCCGATGACGTATTCAACATCAATTCGTGATGAGGCTTCATTGGGTTGCTCTTTTCGTCTGTCGGAAGGGATTTAATCTTGTTGGGACTTGAGCTGGCTAGGATTCTAGGGTGGCTGCAGGTGAGTACTAACGGTTTGATGCATTGAGCTACAGATCGACGACTGGGTAACAGATGCATGTGATAATGGGGATCTGCTATTCTTATCTCGGTTAGACTTCCCCATTACTATTACTGTCGGTAGCTCTCGACAAAAAGTCTATCCATCAGCACCCCTGTCTCGATCTCTGATGGTCATAGGTTCAACAGCCATGAATCAACTATGTAACAATCTCATGACAAGATAATAATAAAACCCTAGCTCTCCTTGTCATTACCCTTCCTCGCTGAGACACTCGTTGTGATCAAGCTTTTATGCTTGACTCAGTCAATCAGCCAGATGCCACTCTTGCACACCACTGTATCTCTCAGACGCTGTCAGCCTTGAATGAATACATTGACACCGATCTTTTCCAAGAGAAAAGTAAGAGATACTACAGCGAGACGCAGAAGTAGGTGGAGCACGCCAATAACTGCACATGGCGCTGCAGAGCCTATGAGCTGGAGGAAAGCAGCATTGAGTAACGACACAATTCGCAGAAATAGAAGTGGAACAATGACGTCGACCCTATAAAGATGTGCCGTAGACATGTACGGAGAAACGAAGGTATCTTTTAGACCATCGCGGCTCTTAGCATAGGTCTGCGCAATCGGCCAAGCGACGTGCACATGGAACGAGCAAGACATGGATTGGGATAGCAAGTACCGCTTAGATCGCCGCCCAATTAACAAGCTGACAACAGCACACTCGTTCTCCTTGGTCTGTAGCCAGGTCGGTTGAAGGGGCTTGCGGATGTACGTCTCCAGAAAGTCACCGAATGAACGACGTCCATGTGGCAGGGTTTGACGATAACCGTCAAGGGCAGGAAGCGGGATATTGTTACTTGCTGCGATGTCGGGTAATTCGAGGTTGTGGCGGAAGAGTGACTCATCGACAATCGGAAACGGTGCCGGCAATGGCACTTTCGGGCTCTCTTTCACAGCGTAAGTTATCGTCTCTGGACCTGGTATTAGACGCGTGTGGACAAGCGAGGATGGAGAGCTCTGATTTGTCCATGGTTTTTTTATTCGCTTTATTGAATCGTGTCCCTGATATCGTCCCATCGATAGGTTGAATAGACGCAAAGGAGCCCTTATACCCTGCCGCGGTGCTAGCATCTGAAGATCTGTGCCAAGGGACTTTCTTTTCTGGCGTGTCATTCCGGGATCAGCCACAGATGAGTGAACATGTTCGGATACAGTGAAAATAGGCACTTCGAATTCAGATAGGAAAGCCGGCTTTGGGGGCTTTGGGGGCTTCTCAGAGAGCTCGCGATTGGGACTTTCTGTACGAGTCGGTTCAATAAAGACGTCATGTATCGCGCTCACGATGGGCTCGTTCAAGGTCAATTTGGTCGCAGAGGATCGGCTTTCGACACTACATGGTTCATTCTCCTTTGTAGACCCAGGGATTGAGATCGATGAGCTCCGTCGAATTTCAGGCTCAATCCCTATGTCCTTTGCGTTGTATGTCGTAACTGAGGGATTTTTGTCAACGTCCATGGGGAAAATCTGGAATATATCGGTATCACGAGAATCATTCCTCTGCAGAGCTTGGGGCACCTTGAAATTTTCCAGCCCGCTGGGAGCGCCTCGATCGGGGGAAGACTGGGGGGATTTCATAGACATGAGGTCGGAAACAAGCGGCAGGGTGTTGGGTTGTTTGTGGTCGCCAAGCTCGGTTTCGTAGACCAGGGAGTCTGAGCCAGGCAATACTGACTGCTGGGCCATCGTCAGCGAATATCTGTTGCAGTCTGCGCGCTCAGGATTAGCACGAAGTGGACAGAGGGGAAGCAGCGGAAAGCACGGGCGGAAGGGGAGTTCGAGGGAGTGCTTCAAGGTTAGTACTTGAATCCAATAACAACCAAACTAGGAAGGAGCGGCCTGGGAACCGAGTAGTCCAAGTCTTAGTTAGCAATAATCGTCAGTGGAACTAATGCCACACAAGGCTTCAGCGGGCGTTTGTCTTCAATTCATGCAAAACAAGATTTCAAGAGAATTGGCTTAATTCTACAAGGTCAGGTTGAAGGTCGCGACTGGATATGTACATCAGGTATCTATTTAAGGTGGGCTTGGAGGGTCTCGAGAACCTGGTCATGGCGTTAGCAGACAAACTCGTAGTATGACGAAGCGGACTCGGCCTACCTCAAGCTCGATCTTAGCCTCGGCAATATCCTGCTCGCTGCCGCTGCCGCTGGCAATCTTCTGGGCCTCGGCGATCTGAGAGCGGACAGCCTGAAGTGGAGGAAGGACTACATTAGTTATCGGGCGACGCGACATAACAATATGGGACACCTACCTCAACGCTGAAGTCCTCAAGGGGGTAACCCTCGACGGCGTTGATGCTCAGCTGGGAGTCAGGCTGCACAACGGCGAAGCCACCGGAAACTGTACAAGAAGACAAACATGTCAGCCAAGCTCTAAGCCGGATAGCAGCCGCGATTCAAGCAATGTCTGTTTTAAGTAGAGGTAAAGCCGGGTCTCGATGGGAAAGGTCGGACGTACGGAAGAACTTCTTGCTGGCACCACCCTCCTCAACAACCTCAACGAGACCGGGCTTAAGCTGCTCGATGGAGGGGACGTGGTTGGCGAGGACACCCATCTCTCCGGACTCAGCAGGGATGTTGACCTGGACACTGGATGGAAAAAGACTCGTAAGTACGGGGCGGTCAAGGTTGAAAGAGTTTCGTCCAATTGCTCGGTAGATAGGAGTCAGGAGACCACATACACGCCAGTGGACTTGAAGATAGTCTGTTTAAGAACAAATTTGTCAGTCACTGAACATCATGGCGGACGCAGCGGGTTGCATAATAGGGTCGGAATCGTACCTGGTGAGGCAGGGTCAAGGAAAGCTTGATCTTGTCGTTAACAGCCTCGGCGTAACCTCTGCGCTGGAGAGGAACGCGGAAAGCAGAGGGACGAGCCCTGAGAGCAGAGCGAGCGAAGCGGAGAGAGCTCATCTTGCAATGGACGGAATGGAGGTGGTGGTGGTGATATCCCTCTTGAACCTGGGTTGCGAGTTGCAAAGGTCGAAGTCGGATGCCGGTTGTTCCCTAGCGGCTCTTTTGGTCACGTGGGGTCCCGCGCGACAACCGCCAACGAACCCGACGATTTGACCAAGTACGTATTCCGAACTCATGATCGGTGTAGGCACGGTAGCCTCTACGCCGTCATCGCACTTGGTCAAGAACTACAACTGGAGGCTTTTACTCCGTAGATACACTCGATTTTAGTCTGTCTCACAAATACCAGCACGAACGTGTGTTATGTCGTTGGCTGCCTTTAACAGATTGGGACCATCAGGCAAAGACGAGCGCCAGCAACATCCCAATTGCGATGGCGCAAATGAGCCCTCTTATTGATTCTGTTCTGGACAAGGCAAGGATCTTTACTATGAAGGTGCATGTTTGAATCCGAGGTCGTCCATGAAGCTTTCAAGATGAGCGTAGGTCTAATTGCATACTTCGAGATTCGAGATCCAAAATAGTTATCATCACGTGATATGGTGTTTGGCCTTGGCTCGGCCATCATGACAATACTCTTGTGACAGGTCAGGTCAGGCAGCGGTATCAGGCTTTTATCATCGTTGCTTCTGTCTCGCGATCACTCAGAGAGCAGCAACCTCACATCAATAATGTTTGGGATTCAACAAGGTGTCACAATAGAATAGATGCGCAGATCCAAGTCACGAGTTAACATTAGTCATCGGTACGGATGTTGATGCCTCAGGCCTATATGGTATACTTCGAAGGTCTCTGCGCGTTTAAACCAGCTCCTACCTTCTAGCGGATCTGATACAGAAGATGGAAAGACGTCAGGATCAAGTGTGATATGTAAGGTAAACAGCACTAATATTCTCCCCCTCCACACTGGCATACGGGGAGGTTTGGGGGGGTGGGAAGAGTCCAGCAGTAGAAGCAGCTGAGGCCGACACGCTAGCCGTGCTCGGTAAGCGAAATCCCACACTGAAAACCAGCCCTAGCCGAACCTGCCTTGGGGACTCTGGCCTTCCGCTCAGTTCAGGATAACCTCACCCGCCAACTCCTCGTCAACCGTCTCCCAGTTGCGATAAATCCGACAAGATGGCGAGTATGTGCACCCCTGCTATGTGAAATTTTTGTCACAGAAAAAAAGACGAAGAATCAGCCCGTCCAAACATCAGCATCTGTCCCCTGGGACTGTTCGCCATGTTTCTACAGGTCCATTCGGCAACCGTGATCAGTTCACTGACATGATTTTCCCCCACAGAGTCCAAGAACGCGTCTCAGCACCACAACAGCCAGAAGGCTCACCGTAACGGGTGCGTACCCTCGAATCCCCATCGAACCCAGCCTTGAAAGAACCATACGATGTACGATTGGAATGGAGCGGGGATGGTCGCTATGTTGGATACGGCGTGACTGTGGAAGGAACCTCTCGACCATCGTTGTTTCATCCAACACGACAACAGCGCCTCCGCCGTCGCCATTACCATGAGATACAACACCGGAAACAAATGAATGCAAAGTCGCTGACCATGTCGATTTTCCGCCCCACAGTATCAAGAAGCCCAAGACCAACCGTTACCCCTCCCTCAAGGGTGTTGACCCCAAGTTCCGCCGCAACCACAGACACGCTCTCCACGGTACCGCCAAGGCTCTGGTACGTTTACCTAGCGAATCCTTCGATCCCTCACGACCCCCGGCTTCCGATTGCGAGAAGAATCATCTGGCTAACAACTCGAACAGAAGGAGCGCAAGGAGGGCAAGCGCGAGATCGCATAAATCAACTAATATAGAAACGTTTTAAAAGAAATGAAAGCGATTTGAGTTGGTTGATCTTTCTTTTTCCAAAACGCCCCCGCGCACCACGAGTGGGATCGTCTTGTCTTGTCGGATTTAGCCCAGACTGGTCCTCACTCCCCCGGCTACATGTTTTCGAAAACGGTTGTCACATAGGAAAGGAAATTGACTGGTTTTCTGCGGGTACACATTGGAAGAGCGAGTCGTGCTCTTCTGCTATTTTTCTTTTCCGTCCTTGCCCGCATCGTGGTGAGTGACGGGTTTCCCCACAAATTTCGGTTCCGGTCTGCAGAGATTGGAGTCGGATATCAGGCATATGTGTGTACAGCTTCGTGCTTATTTTTCCATGCGCGCTTGCTGAAGGATTATTTTAACGTGCCGAGAGAAGATCCCATGCCCTCCTGACTTCCAATCATCCTTGGCCTTTGCTCTCCGTGGGTCAAGGGTGCATGGACGGAGGGCTACATCCCCAGTAGACTGATGTAGAGCTATATTTAGTCAATCAATTGAATTTGTTCCATGAGTTTGATCTATCCATATATATCCTCACATGATAGGCGCCAGTTGAATGCTTTACAAACATCAATGCTCCCCGACTGTATACTATATCTTCCATACCACGAGCCTCTTATCGAACCCTCCACTAACCAGCCATTCCTCCCTAATAGTTCTGCCATCGGAGCCTGAACGCTGCTCAACCCGGCCAGCCCAGATGGCCCTAATCTTACAACCCGCCTCATGGCCACCCTTCAAGACAGTAACAACCCTACCGGACTTAGCCTCGAGTCCGCGGATAGCCCCGTCATCCCCATTGACCCAGACCCCCGAGCCATCCGGCCGCCATACCACCTGCGGGGTCGAGTACGCCGTCTGCGGCGCGAAAGTGTTGGCCTGAACCATGATCGCGGCATCCTCTCGATTCTGGAGCGACAGCGCCGCAAGCGCCTGCGCAGCCTGCGTCACCGGCTCGTCATCCTCGCCATTCCCGCTCAGCGTCTCCTGCGACGGGAACAGCAGCCGCACAATCATGACCTTCATGTGCGGGAGCGTGGACGTTGCGACCGCAATCAGGCCGGCGTCATGTGGGCTGAGGGCAATGCACGAGGGGGAGAACGCCACCCAGGCGTTCGAGTGCGGGGCCAAGTTCTGTCTCCCGAGCAGGACACATTCGGCCCGCTGCTGCTGATGTGGGTGGGTCGTTTCTGCAGCGGTGGATGCTGCCCGTGACCCCCCTACCTGGTAGTAGTAGATATACGTCGAGTCCTGTCGGGAGACGAGGAGAAGAAGCTCCTTGGTGTCGGCGTGGCGGACGAAGAGGATCGATTCCGGGTTCGTTGGCAGGGAGATCTGCGCCACGGGCGCGCCGATTGATACTGGGGTGTGCTCGTCGACTGCTGCTGCAAGGCTGCCGCCGCGGAGCTGATAGAGGAAGACCTTCGAGTCCCAGCCCGCGGTTGCAATCCATACGGTGTTGTCGTCCGCCTCATGGGCGACCACCTTGACCGCGTATTTGGCATGGTCTTTCCGACGATCGAGGATGCTGGCTCCACGCTGGAGAAGCAGTTGACCGGACATGTTGGTCAGGAGCAGGAACTTGCCCTCTCGGATCGGCGTGTAGGACAAGATCGGCGACTCGGACGTGCCGGAGAAGGACCGCACGAGGGCATTGCCGGCGGAGGCTTGGAAAACATGGAGCTGTTTGTCTGCTCCGGTGGCCACCAGAAAGGGTTCGTCGGGCTGCTCTTCCCTGTCGTCATGTTGCCATTGCTCCACGGAGCAGGATAGCAGATTGGATGAGGTTGGCGTCTGGATGACCGTAGGGTTGGTCGGTGCTTGATATACCATTATTAGAAATTCTGTTCGCTTGACTCCGGGGGAGTTTATTTTGAGGGGTGTCATATACCAGGCACACTCCAGAAATCCTTCTCTTGGTCGCTCTCATTGTATCGCTCAAAGTTCACGCTCTTATCAAAGGCTCGTTTCTCGTCGAGCACGCCCTCGATGGTCCAGGAGTCCTGCTCGTCCTTTCCGCGGATTTGCCCCGCATTGGCTGGCAATCCTGCTTCGCGGAGGAAGGCATCGAGGGTCTCTGTGTAATTGTGCGTGCGCAAAAAGCGAGCCACGAGGTCGCTCGCCAGGGATGAGCTTTGCGCTTCCAAAGGCATTGTTTTTTTGTTATCTTTGTGAGATGTGGGGAAAGGTCAGGCGTGGGGGCCTGGGAATATATTTCTGACATAAGTCCGCTCCAGCGGCTAGGCCCTTCTCCAGCAATCATCGTTCTTCGTATCGGTGCGCACATTCGATGTCTTCGTGCTTTTACGAATTGGAAGGGTTGAAGGATTCTTATCATCAGTAGCTTCAGTAGATTATTTGTATCTCAAAGATAAGTATAGTGTCGAGCATCCAAAGATGAGATTTGTCATTGTGAGGGGATTGCAAATTGCGAAACACCAACCCAAGGCATCATGCTAGAGACTTAAATACTAAGAATACTATAAAATGAAAATGCCAAAAAAATAGCCTTTCCTTTCAGGGGTATTTTCTAACATAGAATGCAGAATGCCTCAGCTGAACATGTCCTCCGCTCTCCGTCGAGGACCTCCCCGCCCTTCGATCTTCTCTGAAAACAACTCCTTGCCGGCATTGGAATTGAACCTGGACGGGAAAAGCTCTCGAACAGACGCTCCCCGTCCCTTGATTGAGATGCCGCCTGCTGCCCCACGAATAGACATCCCTTGATCGTCCCGACCTTGACCTGCTGCCCCACGGATGTTGAGCCCGCTCGAATCTGAGCCGCTGGGGAAAAGCTCAACGTTCTTGTTCTTTCGCTGTGGCTGTATGTCCTGTGCTCCGTCGACGAACGGTACAGAAATCCGCCGAGCGAAAAGATCGGCTGTCTCGTCCGCAGCATCGATCGCATCGGATCGGCGATGGTTGCTGTGCTTGCTGGGGAAGAGTTCTTTGGCCGTCTTCTGGGGGAAAAGCTCGCGCGTGTTCGAGTCGCTGTCGCCGGCCTTGGAGGACGGGAAGAGCTCCCGGCCTTCATTGCGACGACTGGGCGGGGGCGAGCGCTCACGAAACTGCCGGCGGGAGCCAGGGCGATCTGTGTCGACGTATCCCCCTTCCATCAATGTATCACGACCCGGTGAAGCACTGCGGTTGCGTAGACGTCCCGAGGAGCCTCCTTCATCCTCGGGAAACAGATCCCTTGGTCCTCGTCTGCCTCGTCCGCGAGATGGTTCGGAACGGTCGGCGCTCACTGCCCGCGCGTCGTCATACATGTTAGCGCTAAAATTGTCGTCAGCGTCGCGGTCCCTCCGCCGCCGCAGTTCTCGACCATCGAATCTCCTTCGTCTGTAGTCGCCGTCGCCGCCGTCGCCACCGCCGTGCTGACGTCTGTCTGCAAACTCGCGTCGGAGGCGCTCTCTAGGATCATGCTCAGGATGCATAAGGTAGAACCGACTGGCTTCGTGCGCGCGTGGCTTCTTCCGATCCGTTATAACAGCTGATCTGACTTGGAGCACGGAATCAGGGTGCGAGGCGAGGAGCTTGGCCGACCGTAGACGGAGCGCGGGATATTGAGTCACATCCTCTTCTTCATTAGGTTGTGTAAGTGCCGCCAATGCCTGGAGACCGACCTCTGGCGATGAGTACAGAAGGTTCGCGGACGTGTCATCGATCCACTCGACACGGCTTGGTTCCTCGATAGGGAAGTTCTCGCTTGCGAATCGCTTGATATCGCCGGTTGTCAATTCGTCAACACCGCGTATGTGAACCTTCTCGCATTGAGCCTCTGAAGAAAGTCCATCGACGGCTTCGATGGTGGTGGCTGTTGCGGCTGTTGGTTCCTGACAACACCAAAGAGTGTTAACGGGTGGCAATGACAATGGCTACTAATTGACGAGCGCGACTTGACTTGACTTACGATCTCGATGTGCTCATCTTCGGGAAGAGGCCCGAGGTCAATGTCCATGTCAATGTCCATGGAGGCCATGATGGTGTCGACGGTGAATGTGCTGTTGGAAACGAGACAGACTTCGGCGAATCGCGAGAAGGTTGTTGCGCAATGGCGATCTCCAGCGAGGAGGAAACTGAACAATGATAGGTGTGCAAGAAGACCTATATGGTTTGAGGGAAATACTAGGTGCTTCAATAGGTTGCAATAAGCAACTCAGGGGTCATAAACTGGAACGAAGACGGGCAAACAGGAAACTCCACTGGTCGCAAACTGATGCCGACATGAAGTTCACCTCCACACCGCCCGGGGAATCCTTCGGCGGAGCTCCACCGCCGCCATCCTCGATTCTATACATGCCTTTCATCTCTTTCATGTGTCTTTCACTTTCACTTCAATTTCAGACACGGCAACTTACTCTTCTTCAGCTGCAACCTATCATGCTCTTCTAGAACTGGCGGACAACTCTTCTCTGACCCAGACTTTGGATTAGCTTATTGAGCTTGGCACTTCCATGTGTTCTAGATGCAGCATGAGACATACGACCAACCCCACCGGCCCCAAACGTTACTGAATGGTTGAATTGTTGTTCAGGATGAAACCTGGCCATACCCTCAGAGTAGTATATGGCAGTGACCCTACTGCTCAGAATAAATACATACTCGCTGCATTCTCAAAATGCTGAAATGCAGTACTACCGACTGGTCCAATGACTCCTTTCACACGATAATGACGACTGGCCAACGCTCCTTTCTACGTCAGACATCATACCACCAGTGTCTGATGGCACAGGGTACAGCCAACGTGGAAGTTTTATTCGCATTGAGCATGGCTCAGAACAAGGTCAACCACTGGTCTTCACAACTTCGGCGGCCGTTATTCCACCTAGGTTCACAGGCTGTGCTTCCTCTAATTCAAGCTGTGCCTCAGGATTATATACTCTTCAGGCATTTACAGAGGACGGGACTCTTGGTAGTCATCATGGATCCATGGCCTTCCCCGCTTCTCGTTTGTCTCAGTACGGCTTGACAAATTTAGGCTATTTCCCCTCTTATCAAGCCAATCGGCATCTTACACGGATCAATATAGATTCATCGCCTAGCTCGCCTTGCAGTATTCGAGCTCCAGAGTGTCTCCACAACAGAAAGGTTTTCATCCAGCAACAATGAAACAGTCATCGATATACCAATGACCACCCTGGTGACACCGAATGCAACAGTGCGGCCGCCACGGAATGCGCTGTGCTAGCTTTCCAATTGGGCTATGCCTGCGAGCGCGACGTCAGTCTAGTTACCGGCTATTATGAGGGGCTTGAAGCTGTAAAAGCGGAAAGCTTTTAAGTCTGCCACCCCGCTACTGAAATTTCAAACGATACACCATAGCTGCTCAAGGGCATCCTCCTCTTTCCCGTTGAAAATACGACACGATGCTCTACGCAGAAGGAAACAAACTCGTCTTCCGATTCGATGATCACACCCTCTGGATCGAGCCCTGGAGCGAGAATGCGTTCCGTATTAGGGCCACGAAACTTGCGTCCATGCCCAGTGAACACTGGGCACTGACTTCGGAGGTGGATTCACCCAAAGCAACCATCGAGACCCCAAATAATGAGGATGCAACCATCGTCAACGGCAAGATCAGAGCAACTGTCTCTAAACGGGGTAAGATAACCATCTTCGACCGCAAGGGGAACAAACTCTTCGAGGAATATGCCCGCCATCGTCGGGACCCCAAGGACCCGAAATGCAGCGCATTGGAGATAGAGGCACGAGAGCTGCGACCAATTCTGGGAGGCGATTTCCATCTTACAATGCGGTTCGAGTCGCTAGACCCCAAGGAGAAGATATTCGGCATGGGTCAGTACCAGCAGCCGTCACTCAATCTCAAAGGTTCGGACCTGGAATTGGCCCACCGGAACTCTCAGGCTAGTGTACCCTTTGCAGTCTCTTCGCTCGGATACGGCTTTTTGTGGAACAACCCGGGCATTGGACGAGCAGTGCTGGGAACCAATACCATGAGCTTTGAAGCGCTATCCACAAAAGCGCTCGATTACTGGGTTGTTGCAGGTGACAGTCCCGCCGAAATCGTCGAGGCCTACAGTAGGGTGACGGGCTATGTCCCTATGATGCCGGAGTACGGACTCGGATTTTGGCAATGCAAGCTGCGGTACTGGAACCAGGAGCAGGTCCTGGACGTGGCGCGCGAGTACAAGCGCCGAGAGGTTCCGCTGGATCTCATCGTGGTGGACTTTTTCCACTGGCCGCACCAGGGAGAATGGAAATTTGACCCCAAGTTCTGGCCCGACCCAGGTACGCTCCCAGTAGGAAGACGTCGAGATACTCTCACATTGAGATTGGACACTGACCCCATTGCTTCTCTACAATCTAGACGCGATGATCAAGGAGCTCAAAGACATGAACGTCGAAGTCATGGTCTCCATCTGGCCGACGGTCGAGACCGCATCCGAGAACTATCCCGAGATGCTAGAACGCGGTCTCCTCATCCGCCACGACCGCGGGTTGCGGATCGCCATGCAGTGCGATGGGGACATCACGCACTTCGACGCGACGAACCCCGAGGCGCGCGCTTTCGTTTGGAGCAAGGCCAAGCAGCACTACTACGAGAAGGGAATCAAGGTCTTCTGGCTCGACGAGGCGGAGCCCGAGTACGGCATCTACGACTTTGACATCTACCGCTATCACGCGGGCAGCAATCTGCAGATCGGGAACATCTTCCCCAAGGAATACGCCCGGGGCTTCTACGAGGGCATGCAGGCCGAGGGCCAGGAGAACATCGTCAACCTCCTCCGCTGCGCCTGGGCCGGCAGCCAGAAGTACGGTGCCCTGGTCTGGAGCGGCGACATCGCCTCCTCGTGGCCGACCTTTCGCAACCAGCTGGCGGCGGGCCTGAACATGGGGCTCGCGGGGATCCCCTGGTGGACCACCGACATTGGGGGCTTCCACGGTGGCGACCCTAACGACCCCGCCTTCCGGGAGCTTTTCACCCGGTGGTTCCAGTGGGGAGCGTTCTGTCCGGTGATGCGGCTGCACGGCGACCGCGAGCCCGTCCCGGAAGGCCAACCCACCGGGTCTGGCGCCGACAATGAGATCTGGTCGTACGGGGAGGAGGTCTACCAGATCTGCAAGAAGTACATCGGCATCCGCGAGGAGTTGCGCGACTACACCCGGGGCTTGATGAGGGAAGCGCACGAGAAGGGATCCCCCGTGATGCGGACCTTGTTTTACGAGTTTCCAGAGGATCCCAGGGCCTGGGATTGCGAGACGCAGTACCTCTTCGGCTCCAAGTATCTGGTGGTTCCCGTGCTGCAGGCCGGGCAGCGGAAGATCACGGCGTATCTGCCGGCTGGGGCGTCGTGGCAGCTGTGGGGTAAGAAGCACGACCAGGTCTACCAAGGAGGACGCGAGGTCGAGGTGGCCTGTCCCATTGAGACCATGCCTGTATTCATTCGCGTGTAGGTTAACATGCAGACTATCTCGGGGAGAGCCAAGGTCCAGGCTGTAGAAGATATAGCTCCACTGAATCTGAAAAGTCCCAGAAGATATCCAGTACATTGTACCAGAAGACACCACTCCTGACACCTGCAAGAGAGCACAAGGCCTGCCTATACTGACAACTCTTCAATCCGCTATGCAGGGACTTGTCCATCGAACAATGGTCACACCCGAGAGAACGAGAGAACAATGCCAGCCAGTATTTGATTCACAGCAAGCACGTTCACTCAGGGCAAAAGGGTGGGACTTGTCTTCATATGCCTCTGTCCTCACCTTGATGTAAGCACATCCATCTCTTATTATTTCACTCGTCAACCGTCCGTCTGGCCGCCGTTGCGATCAATCGGCAGTTTGCACGGGTTATCAGAAGGGTTACTTCTCTCGCCAGATGTGACGACAGCGGTGTATATCTACTGATCTAGGATGTGACTTTGTGATCTCGCTTTTCCAGCTTGGGATTCGTCCAGTGGATTGGTTGGGAATGAACACATAGACACCATGCTAATCGGAGGGGACAGGAAGAAGCTCCTTTGGCTGTGTTAGTACTATGGCCGTTTCCTCTGACATCACAGTGGACTGTTCAAGAGATTCCTGCAGCTAGAATAACATGAAAGAATACCAGGTTGGGGGAATATCAACTCCGACAGCAAAGTACAGTACGCATATCCTCAGTCACGGCAAATAGCCACTGGCCCTACTACTGACTTTCTCGATCGATCGATACTACGGTCCTGACCTTCCACTGCTCCTGCTCTCTCTCGTCCTCCAGAACTAACACAGCAGCCGCAAACCCGAGGATCACATGGAATTCCAACTGCCCCATTTACCCACGAGAAAGACGACGCTTCCTGTCCCAGCCAGCCAGCCAGCACACAGTACCCCAAGCCTAACGCAAGATCGATGCAACCTACACAGGACTATATCCCAGTGTTCCCCCCTCTCTACTCCGATGATCCACGCGGCACGTAGAGAGACAATAGCACGTACTCCGCCGCAGCACAAAAGCAAACCCCACCACCGGACAATGTAAGACCCGTGCACATGGCAAAGTACTCCGTAACAGATCATCAAACGAAACCCCTGGTCCTGTCCGGAACGATACGGATCGTGTATGATCATTTTGGAGGGAAGCCGCGACGGCGTACAGACGGATGTGTTCTCCGTCCTGTTTGATTGCCACAACGCAGAACAAGAAGGGGAGGGAGGGAGGGAGGATCGTCCCTAGCAAGAATGACTTCTAGTAACTTAGTTCCCCGTTAAATGCAGGGAACTGGTCATCGAGGATTTGTCATTCTGCAGAACAGGAAGGGCCGGAAACCAGGAAAATCGAAAGTGAAAGACATTTCGCCGAATTCGATGTTTGTGTGTGTGTGTGCTCTTTTGTCATTATCCCGGAGAATAAGAATCTGTGTGCGTGTGCGTGTGTGTGCGTGTGTGTGTGTGTGTGTGTGTGTGTGTGTGTGTGTGTGTGTGTGAGAGAGAGAGAGAGGGTGCAGTCACACTATCGAAGGTTAAAACAGGTCAGGTCCCCTCCCTTCATCGGGTTTCCCTTTGCGACGGTTGATCTGCCTCCTCGGATGCAAAGAGGTCTGGCGGACTCGGAAGTGGCGAATCCATTAGGGAGGTCTTCTCAAGAGGAAGATTATGCATACGTACCCTTCTTCAAGATAGTAGCTGAATGAGGAGCTGAGGCAGGCAGGGGTGATTTGCAGCCACAAAATTGAGGCCTGGGGGTCTGAGCTGAGCCACACCAGTCTTTTTGCCACCCAATCTATTGTTAATCTAGTAGTAACTAGACAAGGTGTATCTACTACATGGTGTTGGCCATCGAGCAACATAGAATATGCTAGGATCGTCAGCTTAGCCACAATCGGCTGTGACCATGATCCAATGCGGTACAACAGAGCTACCGTACACCGTATGGCAATTGTCCGGTCTCGCAACGGAGATAGACTTCGGTATGGAGCCTCCGTACTGTCTGATCGACCGTCCTCGATCGCAGTGGCAGGTAGTGTAGAGACAACGTCCACATTCTACGAGGTGAGCTCGCCTACACTGGTGAAGCGAGAAAGTACTGTATCATCCTACTTCTGCAGCTACAGCTGCACGCGGCCTCATCATCATCAGCATCAGCATCGGCTCAATATCGTCGGCAAAACGAGAGTCACTTGCCCCCCCCACACCCCCCTCCTCTGTCTCGGTTCGCAAGATCAGGTTTGGTCAGACAGCCTCGTAGAACGCTCTCGTCTTGGTTCACATGCAGCAACACACCCTCGGAGGCATGAGTTGCGTACAGTACCTCGTTTCCCTCCCTCGCCTCCACCGCCAAAGGTACTCTGCATAGCAGAGTACCCCAGAGGTATGGGCAGACCACCCGAATCAGGTCAGCGCGTTGCCACACCATAGACAGGCAAGATCCCCGGATGGATGCAATCGTGCGTCAAAGCTCGTCCCGCGCTTGACGGTCGACAAGAAGTTTCTCCACTTCTCCTCGCCTCCTCATCCTAAGCGGCCTGGGCCATGACCCGCTTGTCTGGTCATCTGTGCCGTCTCATGAAGAGGGACGGAAAAGATACTTTTCGGAACTCCTCGCTTAGAACAGATCAAAGAAGGATTAGATGGAAGGGGAGGGGGATGCGGACGGGGCAGTGGGAACAAGCGCAAAGAGATCGAGGAGGAGTCGTTGAGGGAAGGGGTCGACTCGACACTCGACAGTTAGTGGTGGAGATGCGGTTCTGGACGGTGGAGTTAGACCGCCAGAGCTAGGTATAGGCTATCTACGTACAGTGATCCACGCTTGAGAGGGATGGGTGGGGGGGTGGGCGAGGAGCGAGGAGAAGAAGATGTCCGCGCGCGCGCGCGGGAACGTAGTCAGATGCACGGGTGCACTGGAGCCTGAATAGGGCGCGCGAACGGCTTGTGCTTGACAACCGGCCCTGTGAATTGGGGAAGGACCCTCTGTTCATTTATTTCGACCTTTTCTGTTGGTGGTCCTTGGGAGGAGATCGGGTGGGTTTCTCATGCGGATTGACTCGCCGACAAGCTTGTCTTCGCCCTCTCGCCCATCCCGCGGGACGAATCTTCTCTAATTTAGTGGGAAATAGTATTATTAGTACACGATTTAGCAATGGGGCGGAGGGGCCCAAACCCCATCAGGAGGCTTCTCTTCACTTCTCTTCTGGGGGGTTTTTTTTAGATAGTGGTGCGACAGAGCAATTTATCCCAGACTGACTAGTCTCAGGGTCTTTTGCCGATGAGAGGGAAGCGACTCCAGTTCGTTTGATGTTCGTGGATCCTTGATGGATGACAACATAGCAGGGGAGGGAGGGACAAGATGAAGTGAGTGAATAACAGGTCGTTGCCAGACGGTACGGTACATACGTACACACTCGGTGGTGTGGTGTAGGCTCCAGGTGTAGTAGAAGATGGATCGAATCTATTGGCCATGGGAGGATTCCAAAGATCTGCAGCCTCTTTCGTCCATCGGGGACCGGGGAATGGGGAATGGGGAATGGGGAGGGGGAACAGAAGGGAAATCCCCGTAGCTCATTGGTGGTCAGAGCCAGAAACGGACGGGGCGCCCATGCCCTTTACCTTAGTATCGGGTCGAGATTCACCTCGATTGAGTTTTTTTCTTTTTGTGTTTAAGCCCGGCTAGATTAAGTTGATTGATTGATTGATTGATTGATTGACTATGATTATTAAGTTGGGTTCGATTGTTTCCCGTCTGCCTGGACCCAAAAGGCTGAATCTGCCCCAGTAGTTAGGTACTGTACGTAGGGTTTAGAAGAAAAGCAAAAAGCATAAAAGCAAAAGACAGAGGGCACGGGGGAAAAGCAAAAATAGAGAAACACAAAAAAATTAAAAAATTAGAATAAAAATAAAAAAAAAAAAAAAAAAATCCTACTCACTCACCCTCTAGCCTGGTTGACTATCGATGTTAACTAAATAGGGAGAACAAGAGAAGCATAACAAGATTTAAACTGAACCCCGACAACACCGCAGTGAGGGAGGAGCCACTTTCTCCTCCTCGGGAGACGTTAGTCGTCACTCGATCCCCGTCGCCAGGGCCACTCTTGGGCCCAGAATCCCGAGCCCAGCCTGCAGGTGCCCTGTTCCGGTAGGCTTTTCTGGCGCTTTGCCCTGGCAGTGGCAGTGACTCGAGCAGAGGGGAAAGAATTAACTTCCTTGACAGCGGGAGATCCGTTGGGGAACGAGGTCTGGTTCGGGACAACGGCGTACAGTCTCAGGCCCTCAACGGGGCAGTCGGTCTTTTTTACAGGATCCCATCCCCTATCTCCTGGTGTTTGCCTGGGTGTCCGCAGGGAGCGAAACTGGGGAGGTGGTTTCGGAGAGTTGGGAATTGAGGGTTGACTAACACAGTAAGTACTTTGAGAATTTGTCAGACTTGCGACACCATTGAAAGTGTGAAAAAGTGTAGGAGCCAAATGTCCAACCGAGGCAATAGTGTCGTCACATCACATCAATCTGCATTGGTCCACAGAGACATATACACATGCAGCACGAGACGAAGGAGGAGCTCTATCTCGACGGTAAGCCGCACCATAGCGTTTGGTGATGGAAGCAGGCTATCGCGGGTCGACTATCCAGAGTCCCTAGCCGGTGTATCGAAGTTACTACTCCCAGAGGGCCCAGTGGTTCTGGTTGCGATTGTGGTTGTGCGAAGGAGGCCTATCCAAACTAGGCAGGCCATGTGCTCTTGGAAGGGGGGGGACTTGAGGAATGAATTAATCCTCCGCTCTGCGCGCATACACATCCAGAGCACAATTAGAGAGAGAGAGAGAGAGAGAGAGAGAGAGACGGCATTACGTATCCACCACGTACAATTTATCTTTGCGTGCGTACTTGCGCAAGTCAGTCAGAAGGATGGATCATCTCAGTGCCACCTTCCCTTCTCATCGGTTCTCCATATGAACTCATTTATCATCATGGTTACGTCGAGTTATACGATCTACACATGTTGACAGGCATTCCTCCTCTAAAACGGGGGAAGAGGAATGGATAAGAGCAAGACAACGAACTGCAGTGCAGCCCTTGTCCCTGCATGATCTGATTCCCCGTTAGGGAGATTCCCAATGATGTATGCGAATGGGAGTATTCGTCAGTCAGTTTGTCATTCAGTGAGTGAGTGAGTGAGAACGAAGTACGGAGTACGGAAGAATATTGGTGTATACTTTACAGGTAGGTAGGTAGGTAGGTACTTAGTGTTAGTATTAGTGTTAGTATTAGTATTGGTGTTAGTGTTGTTTAGTGGTTAATTACCCGGTGGATCCTGGTCCGTTCGGCGAGAGGGGATTGCAATAGGTGCAGTAGGTGCAGGAGGTGCAGGAGGTGCAGGAGGTGCAGCAGTGGTGGTGGGGGCATTGTTAACCTGATAACTGCCCTAAACCCCAAACAGATAATTCGGGAGGTCAGTCTAGCCGGGCATCTGGAAGGGATCGGGGATTCCACATGGTCCCCGAGGTGGAAAACATAAACCCCGATCAGAGAGGGCAGCCAATCAATGCCTGCATGCTTCCCCGACTGCAGTCCCGGTCGCAAAGCCCATCCCCGCGACGTCATGGTCACTCAAGGTACCGGAGTCAAGTCAACTGGCTGAGGTACTGTACTACCACCAACCCTCCGCCATCGGATATCAATTGGCATGATGAACAAGAAAAAAGCAATTTCTTACCAGATCTGGGTTATCTCGATCATCACGACGGCGTACAGTACCGTCATCAGTCCCCTGCCACTGTTGTTCCCAGTGGGAGGGTTTAAACCGTTTTCGCGACCGAGGATCTGGATGCTGGTCGAGGAATGATCACGGAAATACTTATGATGATATGAGTAACTTACCCTATGGTGTAACTAGTATCTTGTGGACTGAGTTACTTACAATACAAATCTCACCCAAATGATCTCCACAACAAATACGTGCAGCTTACCTCTTCTAGTCACACACCTCCATATACCCTTACCCGTCGACATTTACCGCTGGTGACAGTCATGGATAGATGCAAAAATCCAGCGTAGATATCAACTACCTTTCAAGTGTTAGAACGAGGCTTTGTGACACTACCGTATGCCCGGAGTATCCGAGTCCAAGCAGGGCGATAGCCGAGGATCTACTCTGCTTTCCTTGGAAAAGTACTCCGTGCTCCGTACCTTCCCAGCATTTGAAGAAGTAAAGGAAGTTCCAGGCTGTGATGCATTCCAGCTTATGCTTTTAAGTTCTTTTTTCCTTCTTCCCTTTTTTGGCAATGAGATACACAATCCATGAGGAATGGCAATGAATAGAGTTTGGAGTGACTGACAGCCGGTGCTCGGACCCCCTGAGGTTCGCAGCCTTCAAGGCCCGACAGTCAGGAAACAGCGGCGGGATGCGAGAGCGCCGTTCGCTCCACCCCCCTTCTTCTTCTCTCCTCCTGCCTGTGGTGTGGTGTGCAGTGCCCTGGTGCAGTGCAGTGCTCTGTCTCTCTATCCCGATCCAGACCTACCTACAGACCATCCTTGTTCAACTCCCCTTCAGCGTTGCACCGCATTGCATGGGAGCAATGATGAGACAGGGCCTATGTGATTTTTTTTTCTTCATCTGGTCTTTTCTTTATCTTTCTATTGTCTCCTTTCTTTTTTCATTATTTCCTGTTTTCTCTTGTCGCTTCCAAATCGCAACAGCGATACTTACAGTTGCCGCTACCATCATCGTGTCGATCGGATTGCGTATCTCGCCATCCACCGCCTTGGCCTGAGCCGATTTTCCCCCAGTCTAGGAGAAAGAAACATGTAGCATTGATGGGCATACTGTACAAATCAAAACGCCTTCTGCCGCAGGCTGAAGGATTACATACATAGTAACTTAATATATCTCAAGGGGGCCCCTACCTTAGCCCTTGAAGCTGGAATAACACATAGGTTGGGTGCTGCTTGATTTTCAGGTATGCTGTAGGTAAGGCCAGTCTACGGAAGCAAGAGACAGAGCAAAAAGGAAAGCTGCACGCTAAGCCTCCAAAGTGGGCAGCAACTAACCAGGGTTTATCTCAAATACTTCCTTTGCACACTCCTCATTTTCCATTTTGATTGGTCGGTCACCCAGTCCCTAGGGTAGAAAGCCGGGGACCATACCTTACTGTAGGTAGTTTTGCGGAAGCACCTGAGACTCGAGAGTAAGTTGAAGCTGAACTAGCACCAACCGGTCGTAGCACTGTACATCCTCCTTCAACGACTGCTTAGCCTCCGCTGTGCCGGGGCGCCCGCCCCTCTTTTCTCTTCCCTTCCCTTCCCTTTCGTGATCAATCAATAGTCCGGAGCGGTTGTGAATGGGAAGAAAAAATGATCCTTGTGTGGTCCCTCCTTCCCCCCCCTTCTCCTTCCCCATTCCCCATTGAGAGTAATGACTTTACAAACGACGAGTTTTACGAGAACTTCCGCCGAGTTTGGCGCGGAACGCATTTCCACCCTTCGTATGGAAATCAACGGCATCATGATTGTTCAGGGCAGTGGACTGGTAAACCCTCATTCAACTCACTGCTGGTCCTTTGCAGACTAGAACTCGATCATTGATCTTGTCAGGTCGAGTTGAGTATCGTTACAGGCAAAATGATGATGGATACACCGCGCAGTGGTATAGTGGTATATATCTGTATGTATCGTATATACAATATGTACTGAAAATGAGGTATCTGTTGCCCTACGGTATGTAAGGTATGTGCACCACCATACACCAGATGTATGGAGCTACATACAATACAGTATGCCGTTTGTCGGGTATGTTAAACACACCCACCCTGCCCACAACACCCTCCGTACCACGAGGAGAAGAAGGAAAGACCAGGGAAGGGGAGAGGGGTTCATAGATCGCCAGGTAAAACTGTACGTACCCGTCCACATGGCAGTCTTGCAACAACAGCAGCAGCAGCAGCAGCAGCAGCAGCAACCGCAACCGCAAACCCCTTCTCCCACGACGTAGATGGCGTTTGACGGGGTTTCAATAGTTTCTTTTCAGAAAAATGATTTCTGGCTTATCTTGGGGCTTCTTCTCAACTCAACCCCAATCCAGATACGAGAAGGAGGGGCAGGCGGCTTTTGGCTTCCCCAATCGTCATGGAACAGACCGACCTTTCGAAAGAGCGTTGGATTTTCGCTAGCCTTTTCCTTTTTCCTCCCTGGGGACGGGCGGGGACATCACGAAGGGAAGGGGGGGACGGGCGCGCAAAAGGTTGACTGACACTTTTGACAGACGTTGGGCAGGATTCAAAGGGGGAAAGGGAGTGGGTAAGGTAGGGAGAAAAGGCTATCGTTGAAAAATCCTGCTCCACCGTTAACAGTCGTACCGAGAACTCAGGATCTCGTAGTGAATGACTGTTGAAAACTTGATCGATTCCTCGTTGCTGGGTCGTGGGTGTGGGTAGTTAGTCCATTCAAACCGAAAACAATATGATTGTTGTTGGTTTTTTGCCCTCTAGTTCTTTTGTCAGATTGTTTTCACCTTCGTCTGCTGCTTTCAATCATTGTTACATTTCCATCTTCCTGAATTCTTAATTCCTTTGTGTAGGTTCTTTGCCTGGATAAGCCCAGGGAAACTAAGGCAGGTACTAGGTAACTTACCAGATTGTGTAGCACTTGTCGGCACAGTAGCTTTCCCAGTGCTGTGCCTATGGGTCCATGGGATCGAGATACATACATCCGATCTAAAGGAATCCCGTTTATCATTCCCTGATCTGGACTAGTCCTAGGGTTCCAGAATGACAAATATCTTTATTGGGCAAGCCAATCATCTGGTGTAGAAGGCTGATCGGAGCAGTGGTTCGTCACGTCATGTGTGGCTCAGGGGTTCGTGCATTTTGCCCTCTTCTCCTGCCCCATTTTTTTTTGGGTTGTTTTGCATTTTCCTTTTGGGAAACAAGCTATAGTAAGGTAAGCTAGGTTATCTTTCAAGGTACCAAACTTTCATCATGTATGTATCACGGGTAGGTAAGAATGACATTCCATCCGATCGGATAAACCGCGGCCCCTTCTATATTCATCGACCAAAGTTCGCTTCAACAGTTCGTCCCTACATAGCTCGTGGCGTTCGCCTGGAAGACTGATCGTTTTGTGACCTATGCGTGGTCCAGCTGCCTAGCCGACGACCAAAGATAACCCGGAATCTATCTTTCGATGGGCACTTAGTTTTCTGGTACGTAGTAGAAGTCGTCTCGAATAGCTAGGTAGTGAGTGACAGTTAGTTACCCACCTTTCCGTCGGTAAACTGCTAGCTCCAGAACAGGCAGAAAGGAAACTGGTACCAGAAAGGTGACTGACCATCCGCTGCTCTGTGCGGAGAATCTGTAACAGAACACGGACAGCCTTTGCATTCTATAGGTAGACACAGGGCAACGCCGATCTCGCTTCACGGAGATTTTTTTTTTCCTTCTCTCTTGGTTGGGTTGCACCCGCATTAAGAGTTTACCGAAATAAGGCTGGGGAAAAAGGAACTTTCGGGGACACTCTATGGCCGGGGGATGGGTGGTGCACCCTGTAATCTGAAACCACGCGAACGGAGAAGAGCAACGATCGCTCGTTTATTTTGCCGACTACCTCATGATTGCTCATGATTGTTGATTACAATGATGATGATACTGAGTAAGTTGATAACCGCACGATGATCTGGATAAGATCGACTTACCATATCCACCTTTCTCCGCTTCCATCCCACGACCAAGGATCACGGTCGATTTGCAAGCTTCGATCACTTCAGATCGGCCAATGGCAGTCATGATGGACTCCGATCGGACAATCCTTTGTTTATGGGATTCCATCATCATTCAGAGGAGTACTGAGAAGCGAGGTACTAGTGGACCATAGTTGCAAACAAGGGTTGACGTTAGCGTCTTAGTCCCCTCAGTATGACAGCGGGACAGGCGCCGCCGCATGATTTAGAAGCACCTCCGGTGAGTAGGCGACATCTCCTGACTGGCTAGCTGTGGTACTTCCGTTCTCTATGACAGATTTCAAATCTTCCGACTTCCCCGGACGATCGTAGTCCCCGTATACTAGTCGCCGGTTTACGTCTCCTAGGCTGGCGATAGTGGATGGCATAGGGTGGTATCCCTAACCACCTGTGGTCACTGCTGTGAGCGTATCTGCGTATGTCCTTTGCAGCAATCTGCAGGATTGATCAAAGCTAGTCTTGAGAAGGCAAGACATTCGCAATATCTCATAGGGGCCAACCGATCTCGCCGTACATATGTCTACGGCGCTCGATCCAGGAGGTCCAAATAGGGGAAATCCTGGATTGTTCGATGAGATCTATCATCCTTCTACTGCATATGCGATACAAGCGAACATGTCCGAAAAGCTAATGGGCCCGGAAAAAAACGAACCCTGCAGCAAAACGTGAGTCAGTATCTTGGATCTGACTTGTTGATTGGACTGAAACCGTCGGAAATATTGATTTTTTTTTCCCCTTTTCCTCTTTTCGTTGGGAAAGGAGGGGGCGTATTTTGAGATTCGCTGGTGGCATGCGCAATATTGCAAGTAGCCCGCTTCCCCATCGACTGTGCCCCTGAACGGATACTAGGTACATTCAGGCGGTGCTCGAACCTCCCCGTGGGAGTGTGCTATGCACCTGCATCGGAAAAGAACTCCAGCGACGAAAGTGCGATGTGCCGGGAGAAAAGATTACTAAGAGAGTGGGAGTTAGTCATCGCTGTCTCAAATTCCCGCAGCAGTGACAATCAAACATTAATGGGACCGAAGGGATGGGATTCTGTCCCGTGTGTTTGGCACGGCGGAACTCGGGTCGAGAAGCTTACTGGCAGCTGTGCGTAATGACTAGGTAGGTATTCGGGAGCAGCGGGCACACCGTTGAAACCAGGGGATAACTTACCAAGTACCTGGTTAAGGCAGACGAAGCGTGACTAAGAATGTGCCGCTGAAGACAACGTACTCCGTACGGAGTAGCAAGTACTGCAGGTGACTGACTGGCCGACGAATGATCCCCGAAGAGGTACGGAGTATCCGTCCCAGCAATCGAGATTGTGCGCGATCTCAGTGTCGATCGCATCCCAAACAGGTATAAGACCAAATCAAAAGATTCCAAATTGTCGCAGGTTGGCCTGCGCCAATCACAAAACCCCACTTGAACAGTTCGATGTCATGTTCTGGATAACGGTCCACGGGGAGTGGGAGGAGTGGGAGGAGTGGAGAGATCAGGGCTGGAGCGGGAGGAAATAATAATTAGACTAGATTAATTGCAGCGGAATTCGATCATTCTTCTCATGGCTGGCTGAGACGGAGAACCACCACAACCACCACCATCACTGCAGCAAGCTGAGATTTCCTCTTCGGGAATCATGCACTTTCCATTCTAACGTGGTATTGATGTGTAATATTTGGCAGCCCCCTCTCTACTAGAGAAGGTAAAAGAAGCTAGACGGGGCTTCGTTGATCAATTAATATAGGGAAGTAATTAATTTATTCTAGATGCAAAAGAGCAACCATAGCACAATCCCTCGTGATGAATTCCAGCCTGTCAGGTACGAAGTACGGAGTACAGTCACTAAGTACTTCTTGACTTTGTAGGTAGAGTACTCTGTAGTAATAAGACCAAGGTTTCTCATCCATGACCCGATCTGTCACTGCCCAATTTCATTAGTATGGTGGGTCCATGGTTCAATTCATGTTTCTTGTGCCTAGATTAGCCCTGAATGAGCGAGTCCGCTGCCCGTGATGTCGGCGCAGCAGCTCAACACCTCACAACACCATCTTCCACCATGCGGGCGGAAGGGGGCATGGCAGGAAGCGAAGATGGTTTTGGATTCCATTCCCTTGGTTTATTTTTACCTACTTCCCTGTTCCCTGCCAACCCCCCCTCTCCGTCCCCCCCCCCCCCCCTCCCCCCTTCCTCCGCTCTTGTCGTTTGTCGTTTGTTATCATGGTCCCCGAAGGAGCCCGCCCCGCAGGATCCATGAAATTCTGCATTCGACGTGTATGACCCCCCTTCCTCGCATTTACCTACACTTCGCCGTTTTTGCCGCACCCGTTGCTCCTGTCAGGGCCGCCTGAACTTAATACAGGCATGGGTCAAGCTGTGACGGTTAGTTCGCCTCGGTCGACAGATCGCTTAAGACTACTCCGTACAGGTCACCAGGAGAGCGGGAAATCCACTACCTAGTTCTCTGGCTTGTATAAACTTTTATATCTACAATGCTACTAGCGTGGGGAAAAGCGAAAAAAAAAGAATATGAAACCATTATCCGCATATATTCTTAATCCATTTTAAGTCACAAGAATCAACAAATCAAGCTAAGAACTCTCTCCGCCCTATTGTCTCGAATCCATAGGACTATGACAGAATGGGGATAGAGACAGAGAGGGGGGGGGGTGTGTGTGTGTGTGTGAAAGAGAGAGATATGGCGCTTGTGCTCTAACTGGAGTTATTTCGTAATCCTGGAACTTATATAGAACTAGTGAAGATCATATTACCAGGGTGCCCCATGCAAGTAAGCGCCCTAGGACAGATTGCTCGCAGTAAAGCATTTCAATTAGATAGCTCTCTAAGATCTGGATGGTAGCTCCTCTGCCAACTATAGCACCACTCTGAGGAAAGCCAGCCTAGCCCTGCCTCAGATATAGGTGAGCAACGGATTGGCTTCCCCTGGACGACCTCTCAAACCGTCTCTGTCTCTTACATAACGAGTCGGTCGGTTGACGAGAAACCTAAGCAACGCAACAAGTGCGCGGAAACAAGAAAAAGCAAAGATTCAAAATAGAACAGACGCTGCATGGAGCTACAGTGGTGCCTCACTCGGGCCAGCGACTGGCACCTCTAATATCCCTGCTGCAACACCGATCCTGTGGTAAAGTCCGTCAGTGTCCGGGAATAGTGGCAAACCTTTCCCCACGACTCAGAAACGCCAGCTGCTGCAGCAGCAGCTGATAGCTGCCTTGCTTGCTTTTTCAGCCGCGTGGTTGTTTCGCTTCTTTGTCAATAATGGGTCCGATTTTACCGAAAGAAGATACTGCAGAAAGAGTCCGTCCCCAGCGCTAGATTAAGGAGATGAGATCGGTTGAGTCCATGTTCAATTAATGGTAATGGTAATGGTAATCTGATCGCTTCTGTGTGATTGTGGTTAGGTAAGTATGTGTGTATGGCTGAGAATGGTTATTTGTAGACAGATTGATGTTTTGGTGACATACAGACGGGGGGGAACAATCGATCTGTCTAGCCTCTTTGGTGCGTTTAGCAGTGACATACTGTAGAGCGTCAGTCGGTTAACTGAGCATTTCTTACCCTTCCCTATACAAAGTGTACGGATACTTCCATTTACCATACATACGTACTAGTCATACTTCCGTGGTATGGTAAGGAATGAAGGAAAATGGAAATAAAAAATCAAATACACTAACCTCGACAATAATAACAACTACCTTTATTTTTCTGATAATCTTTTTTTTCCGGGTCGAATAATAAAAATAATAAGAAAAAAAAAACATTCCTCCGACAACTGTCAGCTCCGAGATCTTGGATCAGATCTTCTCCTATAGCGTGCTGGTGTGGAGCAGTAACCCATTTTTCTCTGACCCGTCTCCCTGGTCATTGTATCCTTCTGTTGCTGCTTGTTGCTATAATAGAAGATCGTAACCTTTCCATTTCCATCCCTCCTTCACTTGACTATTGTTAAATCGTCCTTGTCAACATCTTTTAAAGTCCCGTCGGGTCTCACTTTACCTCTCATTCTATATCTACCATCCCCAGGGACGCACCTTCGAACCTTATTCTCTCGAACAAACCAATTTCCAAGTCCCTCAACTCTCGATCTACTACTTGCATCATCCAGCTACTTGGATCTGTGGTCATTGCGCCTTGCTGCTTGCCTACCTTTCAGCTGGTGTTAGTCCTGCCTTGTGCACTGCAGTACCTTACCACATACCTGCTACCTACCTACCTAACTACTACTACTACTACGACTAGTAAGTAGTACTGGACTTACACTCCGGAAACGACCTCACGGTAAGACACCCTTGGCTATTTTACTCTTCAGTCTTTCCCCACCCGCTCATACATTATCCCCAAACATATCTGCCCGCTTCCCTTCCTCATCAGCCTTTCTGTCGACATTGATTGTGTTCAACTGTTATAATTCACTCTTTTTTCTCTCTAATTTCCTCCGATCATCTATTATGCCAGAAGTCTAATCTCCATCTCACAGAAACTCAAACTTGAATCTTGCTCTCCACGATTCAGCCGCCCCTTGCATTTTCATTTCCATCCATAATGGCACCTACTCATCGTCGTGGACCCTGGGTCCCGGAGGAGGATCAGCTACTCCTACAGTTGGTTCGCGAACAAGGCCCCAACAACTGGGTTCGTATTTCTCAGCACATGCACTATCGCTCTCCCAAGCAATGTCGGGAGCGATTCCACCAGAACCTAAAGCCCTCACTAAACCGCGAGCCGATTTCGGCTGAAGAAGGCTTGATGATCGAGCGCATGGTGAATGAGATGGGCAAGCGGTGGGCCGAAATTGCCCGGCGTCTGGGGAATCGTAGCGACAATGCGGTCAAGAACTGGTGGAATGGCAGCATGAACCGCAAGAGGAGAGGCCTGCCCACTTCTCCTCACTCTGGACGCACTCTTCACGGACGGATCGAAGCTCCCTATGCACGGACTTCTCTGGCGCTGAGCAGCCCCGTTAGCCGATCCCGCTACTCCTCTATCTCCAGCGAGAGACCGATTTCCTCCTGGACCAAGTCTTCCTCTTCCCGCCGGGAATCCTTCTCAGCATCTTCCATCAACTGCCCTCGGCAGTTGACGCCCATCTTCACCCTTCCCGCCCTGAACCGCCCAGTGGAAACACCTTTGACCTCGCCCACCTACTCAGATGCACCCTCAATGGAGCCACCGTCGATGGTCTCGGATCACAACTCCGTCTCTTCCTCGCCCAGAACCGTCGCCTCTCCTCAAATTCTCCCTGTGCCGGTGGATATGCGACACCTCTATGGCGATGCTCGCAGACAAAGCGCATCATCCATGCAAACCACCGACGAAAGCTACCTCCCCAATCCCTACTACGGAACCAAAACTCTGGAACCCCTTTCAGATCTGTCTTTCAAGCAACGATGGACTTCCGACTACCAGCCGTGGAACCGACCATTTTCCTTATCGTCACCTACCTGGTCTGTCGCTTCAGAAGATAAGACCGGATCGCCACGTGATTCCCGCATGGGTCTGCAAAATCTACTCAATTGATTAACGACGGTCCTTTCGTTGACCTGCTGAGAACGATTGCATGACTCCTTTTACTTCACCACGACACCTCCAGCCATTTCTCTGTATACTTGAGAGCTCCGACCGACCCTTGTCACTCTTTCCTGATTGTCTTCCCTATCTTTCCTTTGTCTTCATACCATGTACATTGTTTTCATCTATGATTCGAGCTATATCCACGGCGGGTCACGTGGCAAGCGACCGAACCTTTTTTCTTACGGTACGGAAAAAAAGTATTCGGGGAGAACATCTTGTGTTTCTGTTTCTGTTTGGCCTCTCCTTTGTTTACTGATGACCTTTTATCTACGGTGCGCACTTCTGGGTATAGAGCGGGCCAGAGTCGGTGAAATGTGTTTTTGTATATGTCGGTTCTGATTCTTTCGGCCATCTTGTGAGCTTGGATTTAATAATACCCCATTGGTTGTTTTTGGTTGATTACAATGTTTTGTCACGCGCGGGAAGAGCATTATTACTACTATATCATTACGCCTAATAATACCTTAATATTCTCTTGACTTGGAATTATTTGCCGTCTACATGTCCAGTCAGCGCATCGCACATCCTCGGATGATTTTGCCCGAACCGAATCATGAGAAGCGCCGTCTCGACCGTTGCCTCCTATGTGAAAAGGAGAGTAGACTGGGAACAAATCAGATTGTCCGGTTCCCGCGACACAGCTTATCCATCGTCCAGGTGGCTGGCTGTCATCAGCCCATTCTTCGCCAGTCAACGGCCATGGGCTCACACGGTTGCGCGCAAGGGGCGGCGCACCACTTACGAGGAGGCGAAGATTGAAGACGAGGGAGGCAGACAGACACGGACGAGTCAGAGCCAAATGGGCCGAGCAGTCCAGGGATTCTTCGTCTGGATCAAGAACCGCGCAACATGAACCTGGAAAAAAGAAAACCCACAGGGGAAAGAAAAAAAAATGGAACAAAGGAGAGACGAAGATGAAGAAGAAGACGACGAAACAGCAAAAAGCAACTTGATTAGACTGTACTGTAAAACCCTCTCACATACATAGCCTTGCGCATGAAGCTGAGGATCGATAGGTCTATTGAGCAGCGCAGCTGACAACAACCATCCTCCTCCTCCTATCCTCCTCTCACTCCCTCAAAATGGATGGGTGGTTCATGCATGGCTTGACTACCAATGGCCGGATGCTCACCCGCTTCCTTCACCAGTGCGGTTTGCAGAGTGGGTTGGCCCCAGTCAGGATGCTCGGGGAGGTATGGATAGTACTCATAGGTAAGGTTGATAACCCAGAGAAAGTTTATCCAGGGACACTGGCCGAACTATGATTGACTTCAGAGGGGGGGGGGGGAAAGGCTTGCATGATTTGCCAGTGCCCCTCCTTAATTATCTTTCCTACTCCCTTCCTCCTTGTTTTCTCTCTCTATCTCGGTGCGCGTTTGCAGCTGTCGCTAACGGTTGGGAGGAGGAGGAGGAGGAGGAGGAGGAGGAGGAGGCCTCGGCCTGGCTCCTCGTTGTTGAACCTTGCCCTCGAATCGAATGGAGCGAACTGCAGACTTGTCCACCGGTGATTCACCAGTGGCTGCAGGAGATCCTATTCTTTTTTTTCTTTTCACCGTCAGCCTTCTGAGTTCAGAGAAAAGTAAAATTTAAAAAAGCACTCTAACGGACCACGTTAACTTTACCCCCGTCCGTCTTGTCTCGGCTCAAGAAAAACGTCCCAACCGTCAATCCCTGTCTCGGTGGAGCCATCGCATGAGCGACGTCAAGGAGAAGCAACCATGAGAAGAGGAGGGGCAACGAAGAATATGCAAAGGAATCCATCGCGCCACAGGAATGTCTCCCTCGGACTCGGCTCTCATGTGCCACCACCCACTGGACTGGCTCTAGCCAGTAGGCTGTCCTCGTTATCTTCTTCTAGATACGGTCATGATGGATCAAGGATGGCCCCCTACCACTATCTGCCTGACTCGCCACTACGCTACGAGCAACACAAAAGTCACATCTCCTTGAAACGCCCATTCCCCCATTCGCTGACTGCATACTAATCATGGAAGCACCCTGCCTGACTCATGAATGTCTGGACCTTTTTGTTTCTCCTTTGCGACTTCCCATCCCCCCTCCTATCCGTATCTTTCCCTACCCGGGGAGCGGGAACCTGGCATGTTCATGCTGGTTATAAGTTAGTCTAGGCTATACCTAGAGCCCGGAGTCGTATGCCAAACCAGTCTGCATGGAATCCCCCGGGGAGCTTGTCCGTTTTTTCTTGCCCTTTCCAGCCCCAGTCCGTCCAACACTAAGTAAGCTTAGACGGTGCACCTGGAAAGCCCTACCAATACGATGCCACTCATACTAGGCAGGAGCTCACTTTCTTCTGTCTTTGCGAGTGTCTCAAACATGAACGTCCCCACCGTTATGGCCTTGAAGCCATGTATGTATGTAAGTATGTACATGTTTATTATGCATGTTCCGTGTGTCGCTCCGCTACAAGGTAACATAGTACATATGTTCTCTCCCGGCTCTCGGGCTCAATCATACACCAATGCGATGATCTACGATATTCCCGCGCACCACTCTCTAATTTCAACCCACCTCCCCCGGCCGCTTTTTCCCCGCTCAGGCTCGATTCGCCGAAGTTTGCCTTTTGGTCTGGGCCGTTATCGAATGCTTCTTTTCTGACCTAGTACACTGGGCTGTACACTGGACACATGACCCGTGCATTGTTGGATGTCAGTGCTTTCCATCTGTAAGTATCTGGATGGATGGACATAGGCTGTTACACAGGGTAATTTGCACCCATGTAAGTATACACATCAATGGATGAGTCTACATCCAAGATTGGGCCCATGGTCCCTTGTTTGTTACACCAGGTGCTATATAAAAAACCCCAATGGAGAAGAATGGACGAAGCAGGAGTAGGATCTGAACTGAGAAAAGGGTTTATCGGGGGGGGGGGGGGGGTAAGGGAATAGTTCTCCATGAGTCGTGAAGTGGAATCCTGTTCCCTGTTTCAACCCCCCCCCCCCCCCCAACAATAAAAACAAGTACAAATATAGCAACCGAAACAATGCTATTTATGATGTTAGACCCGTGACGATTCATTAACTAAAGAGTGCACCAACAAGTTGAAGATGACGATAGGGTTGACTTGCCTTTCTTTACTTTACATACAATTCAAGTCAATTCCTACTGTGAAAGAATATAACTAACCTGCACAGCCAAGAGATGGGGCTACTAACGCTACTTACCGCCGATCCTCACACTTGCTGTTGATTTGGAATTCATGAGCATTAGCGGCGCGCTTTCCCTTTTTGGGGACTGAATCAACACCGAAAGGGATTTGGATTTTGTAAAAAAAGAAAAAAGACGAATTTCTCCAACAGCCTGCCCAACGTGACGTATTTTTTCCAGGTCCGTTCTTCATCCACTGCGAACTCCATTGTGACGAAATGAATCGTGTGCAGTTAGTTAACTTTCCTTGCTAGTCAAGCTGATCCGGTTTAGTTCTCGAACTCCAGAATGGAGGGTGGTGGTGGAACTGCAGTGGTGGTTCGTTATCACTCACTCACTGATCGTGACTCGACTTTCCGATCTTATCCACAAACCACCCTTCTTACTGTGGACGAAACAGTACTATCTCCAATGGACCCCCGAAACCGAACAAACCATTAGAAGCGACCAAGAACGAGGCTGATTCTGATGCTGCTGCTGGCCGGTGGAGACCCGGTGGAAAGAAACTGTTACACGATGCTGAATATCATGAACCTACCTACCAGGAATCACGAGTACGTAACTCCGTACAGTATGCAAGTGCTGTTTTTTTTCGGTACCAGTCAACTGTTACTACGTATATCCCCTTCCCTGCAAGCTCTTGGTCACGAATAGATACTATCGTTATAGACTATATGACTTTTAAGATTAAGCCACCGCTGGCTTGATCGATGGACGGCGTTTCATTGGGTGGTGGTTTGAAATTGCTTAATATAATTTCGATTGCAAAGTGGCCCCGAGACAAAAGATCGAAGCTCAGCCTGACAGCTGAAACGGAATCCCCACCCACCCACCCACACACACACATACACATAGTACGTATACGGGCTTTAGACACGAAGGGGGAGGAAAAGAAGCCACAATCCAGCTTCCTTTCAGCTTCCAGGACATTATGTACATGAGAATCAGTTCTTGAAACAACCCAGAATATTTCTCCCAACCTTCGATCGCAATAAAAACCAGAACGATTTAATTTGTCCCAAACAAGACCCCCCCCGCGGGCCCAGGATTTTCCCAACAAACACGATCTGCTCTGCGGTCTGGCGCGGGCTTTAATCTATTTTGTGGGGATTTAGTGCCCATCTCCGTAATCTGGAACTTGGATGAGGATAAGAAGTTCTTTCCCTTTTTAATTCTATTTTTATTTTTGTTTCGGTCTCCAGACAAGGGAAAGGGGCGTGGGATAGATATCATTCATCCATGATCATAATCGTACTAATTCGAAATCATCATCCATTCAAAGCATAAAGAAGGGGGAGGAGAGCATTGAGGCTAGCGGGGGAGTTTTGGTGATCGTCAGTTATATGCAGCTTGATGCATGGATCGGGGAGCTTTACCTTGTTCCAAGTAGATTATCGGTGACCAGAGTCTAATATCATCACGCTTGTTGTTATGATCGATATTATGATTCCCCTCTCCCCTCAAGACAAGACCAAGCCACCCCCATATCGCAGTAATAATAAATCTCCAGCTTCCGCCTACCGTAGATACCGACTCCGTACTCCGTAGCTGCCTGATCTGCCCGCATCCCGACGGAATGTCATGTAATAATAGGCGGTCATTATGCCTTTCCCAAACAAGATCCAGAGCTCTAGACCTTTGTTGAACTAACCATCCATGATGAGATATTGGGGGCCAATTCTCTCTCTCTCTCTCTCTCTCTCTGTGGCCTTGTCATCTATGGAACTATGGTGTAGTGGGTTAGTCAGATTCAATGATCCATTGATAAACCCTTATGAAACAAAGTCTTGTCCTTATGCATCGCATCGGATGTACTCGAAAATAAGCCTGGAGATAACGCCCGATTACTAGATTTGGAAAATAAAGCAACGGCCCAACCGTCGTTGGACACAGCCCGCAGAATTCGAGAGTAGTTCGTTAGGGTTTGAGTGTGTGACTTTAACTTCAGCCAGCCAACGGCGTTGCCGAACCCGACCATCCATCGCCTTTTGCTTCGAGTATTTCTACCGAGTACTGTACGTCGTCCGTCCCGAAAGTTCCAGCAAATGTGGGAAGTTCAATCTCTTGGGGTGACTGGTACTGTACCGACCGTATACTAATGATCTTCCCGGTGGTGTGGTCCTAGCTTGACCGCCCCGACAAACCCGTTTCGTTTTTTCTTTTTTCTTTTTCGGTTGCCAAGCGACCGCGCGATCCCACCCCCCCACCAACAAAAGCCACCTCCTCCAAGAACCAAGACTTGAGCTAGTTAGTGTCTGATGTGAAACGGCCGCGTCAGTTTGCGAGGACAAGATGGGAGGCTACAAATGAATGTTTGGCCCGGGTTATCCGGTTGGTAGTCTAGTAGTACTCCGTAATCCATCTGGAGTGATTGGAGCTTCTCGACGTCCCGCTAAGGTATCGGATATCGCGATCTCAAAGTCCGCCCGCTGAGGCGGAGCCCCTGGGTTAAGTTGAGGGAGTCCCCTACTCGTTCAGCGATAGGAGTGGCCCCTCAAGGACAAGACCTATATTATCTTTCGACTGTTCGCTAAATGCAACGGAAAGATTGATTGGTTTTCGCTTTTGCCCTTTTTTCTCTCCGCCTCTCTCTACGCTCCGCTTTTCGGAAGTTGAGACGGAGTGACTTCGATGAAGATATCGGAATCGGAATATTTACACTGACAGTTCCACCCATGGTCGCGCTGCTACCATCCGTCACTGGGCTCGAGGATCGTATAAATCGTATCGTCGATGAGTGGGATGGGAATCGGCTGCTCCAAAGCTCCGGGTGTGGTGGGGCTGACTCTTGACTTCCGTTGCTGCTATCGAAATGATGCGGATATGCCTTCCACCCCTACGCCCTTTTTTCTTCGTTTTGGTCTTACCAAGCTCAATAGTTAATAGTAGTGGCTGATATTATGATGAAGGAGGATGTCAATGATGCATGAATGCAGGCATGTTGACTTGGAAAAGGGCTCATCAGTCAGTACATCACATCATCATCATCATGGCTACCTTGTTGGGGGGTTCTTGTTCGCCCCCTCGTCTGATTTTCCACTTCCGACAATGCCTAATGCCCAGAATCTCTTGTGAAGTCCCCCCCCCCCCAAACTCTGTTCATTCTCATTTCCTATACAATAGAATTTCTGCCAAAGTCTGTTTGGGGGGGGGGGAAGCTCGTCTCGAGGGAAGAAAGTGGAAAGAAGCCGAAAGGATAACCTTGTTGACGGGCAGGCGGTTACCCATAGCGTCGGGTACATCCGATTTGAACCTCCTTCCCTTCCTGCCTGTAGCGGACAATCAGGAAAACTTTACTTCTGGAGGCAGCCCAACATTCTGGGATACTACTACGTGTTGTTCTTGGAACACCTCGATGATGTCTGGGACGTAACGGGCGGGCTGCTACCATGGATCTTTGTTTGCTGGTATCTTCTGCTTCCTCCTCCCCGATACCGAAAGGAAAGCTTTCCCCCCATCCCCGGTCCCACGCGTAATGGGCTAAGCAGTTATCAATCAATCATCGATCAGTTTAGGAATTAAAGATAAATTAACAAGACCTCTTGCATATACCTCATCGAGCATAGTCGCTGGATGCTAAAGTAACCCCCTCCTCCTCTTTTCTTCCCCTCCCCTCCCGTTACCTGCCCGCATTTCCGATTCACATCATTCGCTTTCTATTGGGGGGGGGGGTTTAATTTGATATGCTTGGGATCGTGGGCCGGTCGGCGCCCCTCCCTCCTTCACTCCCCGTCCGTCCAACAAATTGACCCCGCGGGTACCAAACACAAAAAAGAGATTATGTACTGTGGTGCACTGTGCAGTACGTAAGTTTTCGGATATGCACAATTCTGACACACACACACACACACTCTCTCTCTCTCTCTCTCTCTCTCTCTTTCTGTCTGACAAGCTTTTAGTGGAAGGATCCGAATCTCAACTCAATTATACTATTAGCATGATGACAGTCCGCGCCCTGGCCTCTCTCCTATCTATATACCTTGAAACAACCTTAATGTACATGCTGTCTTGCTGTCTGGCTATATCTACTTGCATCCGAAAAGCAATACACAATCAAAGACTCGGAAATAGTGACGCATTGCAGCACACGGCCCTCACCTTCCGTCCGTCGCATAGATCGATTGGTACTGTACCTTACCCGGTGCCGTTCCTTTTTCTCCCCCTCCTCGGCTTTATCATGTCATGTCCCGTTGAGGAAATGATTCTAATTGGCTACCTCGTACGTGCACTCCGTATTGAATTCCCTGAACGGAATCCAAAGTCTTGATCATGAAGATCATGGATGAGACTGGAGAAGATTATAATTGAGCATCGGTATGGAAGTTCGCCGACTTTCCGTTCCTTTTCATCATCCCCGTAATTCAGCTTCCACCCGCCGATGGGCCCCCCCTCCCCCCCGGTGGACCTCAAAGAAGATGGGTGAGGTAGCTAGAGGGGAAAGTGGGAAGCAGAAAAACAACGTGAGAAAGGCTGGAACAAGTGGGTCCGCCCCATATTCCCCCTTCTGCCTGTCGAAGGAGCTAAAGGTTCCCAGGTAGGTAGGTAGCTGGGCTGGGCTGGGCTGGCTGGCTGGCTTGTCGGGGTTCAGAAGACAGAGAGAGAGAGAGAGATGCACCACTAAGGTAGGCATTTTGGGAGGAAGGGACTGAGAGAGCCTGGAGGGCCTGGCTTTCTTTCTTTTTGGGACGGGTTTAGCGCCGCGCCGC